TCATTCTCCTGATGCCTTATTGGAGCTGAGGATTTCCTCAATAATTACAGGGAAATAAAATTTAAATGTTTGGGAACTTTTTTTTCCTCCTAGAAAGAAATTCAGAGATGTGCCAAGATTTATTTTGCAAGTTAAAGCTTAGTATGGATTAACACCAACAGTGTAGGTCTAATAGGCAGCACTGAAGTTCTGTTTTGTTTTTAAAGACAGTCAGCATGCTACTTCCACATTAGTTGCTGTTACAAGCCATAAAAATAAGGCAGGCCAAATCCTCTTCAACTGTGAAGCTTTTCTCAATAACAAACTGCTGGGAGAAGGAATTAGTTGACTGTATTTCAAAGAACTGCTGGGTTCCTGGCACTGGTGCTCTCTGGCTCTTCTACAGAAAGCCAGGCTGGAGGGAAAGCTCCGCTGCTTTGCTGGCATCGCTGGCAGATCCCATTGCCCTGTGATTCTCTCTCTGCAGAAGCTGCAGCTGATGTCCAGCCATGGCTAGGAAACGTTGCTGTTAAAAGCATTATGAAATAAATAATGCTCTTTGCATATTTTTTCAGATCTGTGAAGTAGCTCAGGATGGTCCGGTACCGCTCCCATCCCACTGAAAATGAGTGGGAAGTTTGGAATTGATGTCAGTCAAGTTGTAAGCCGTGCGAGGAAAGGGAGGAAAGTCGAGATGACTGAGAAGGAAGGTGAGAAATTCGTAAGTGAAGCTCAACATGTCCAGCTTCCAGCGAGATAAACAAACCCACACATTACATGAGATTTTCTTCCAGCAAATATAAAATAGATTTCAGTTGGACAGTGGATTTGACAAAGCCAAGAGGTTTCCACTTGGATTCAAGGCAACACGTGCCGTCTGAACAAGGACATCCAGCACTATGCATTAGCATGAAGGTTGTTGACTTAATTGGTTTTTGGTGGTCTTTTTTTTTAGTTTTATTTTTTATTTTTAAGTAAAAAATAATAAAACATGACTGATCCTGCAAAGCACTTGGGAATATTTTCTGAATTCTCTGAATTGTTATTTAAGAATGTATTTCTGTCTCATTATTAAATATGCTTTTAAATCCCTGATGGCCACCCTTAGCTGCTGACCACAGAATTGCCAGCATGCACTAATTTTTTTGTCTGGGCTTTTTAAAATTAGCCACAGATTATCAGTCTGTGACTCTGCAACTGCTGCTCTTCTATGACCAGAGCACATGGTACCAGTGACAACATGTAAGACTTGGGGAATCAAACTGGCTTTAAATACAGCTGTCCTCATGCTTAAACAATAGGCTCTTTTTCCCTCATGCTAGTCAGCACAATTAGATGGTAAACCTGTACTGATAAATGCCAACAGACAGCCTGGCTCAGAGATCTGTAATCACACCTCTTGTACAAATACATCTGAGCTACAGTGTTTCCATAAGGCATCCTCTAGCAGCCCTTCACTCCTAAGAAATTGCTTCACTGCTGTGGATTCCTGCATGAGAATTACCCAAACTCAATACTATTATTTTCTTATTATTTTCTTGAAGCACAGCACGAACAATTTGCTTAAGTACAGATTAAGCCAGTGGCCAACACTTCATATTGTTACGAAGTACACATACAGAAGCAGTTGTTATTAACAACACTTTTGCCATGTGTCAAATACACCTGTCATCTGATGGAATGCTTCCAAACGGCATCACACCTCACGCAGCTCACACACTACTGACTGAAAAATTACTGCTGCAGTGACTGAAACAAAACATGGTATCCATTCCCAACCAAGGACTTGAACTTCAATTTCTCATCTTTTTCTTTTTTAAATTTTTGCTAATGGTTGGCAAACCCTGCTTTTGAAATTTGAACTTCTTGAAGACAATGAAATGCTTCATCTGCTGTGATGGTGATTTTTCTGCCTCCTCACTTGCAATAGAAAACAGTGCTCCACAACCAAGATGAAAACTAACTTTGTTGTGATGACCTGCTGGTATCTGCAGGCAATTTACATGGCTGCTGTAACCAAGGACACATCAAGCCCGTGATCCACAAACTCATAGGTGCTTGTAAGCACCTGGATGCTCATGAAGGCCTGATTTCATCTGGTTTCAGCTAGGTTTGTTTCATTTTTACTTAGGAGGTCCCATTTAGAACAGAAATCCCCTGGTAGTGTTTAGTATCTGAGATACTAGGCTTTGAAACTTCTGGCAACATGCTGCTAAGCTTTAAGACCTCTCGCAGCAGAATCATTTTAAGAACCAGTCATGAAGACATCAAGAAACTGTTCTTCATACTTGGAAAGCCTGCAGGGAAAACACCAGTCCTAACTCCAGGTGCTGACTAGGTACTAAGAGCACTCACAAAGGGCTTGGAAAGAACATGTCTGAGTACCAGAAGGATCTGATCTGAGCCCAGTGGCTGCAATCACCAGAAAGCTTGACCATGTAGGACTTCCTGCCAACCAACACCTTGCCAAAGGAAGATCACCAAGTGCCCCCACATCACGTTATCAAATGCCTGAGCAGACAGCTCTGACCTCAGAAAGGAGTGAGTGCATCTGGAAGACACGTTAGTGTAAGCCATGCAGATATTTGGGTTTCCCTTCGCAGGAGAAGACTTAGCCACAAATACAGTGAATGCAAAAAAGCTTTAATTTGAGCAAGGGAACAGGTGCCTGTGAAATATCTTCCCAGATGACCTAGCAAACTAGCCAAACACAAACTATAATGACTGCACCTAACACTCTCAGTACTAGGTGTTTCCATTCAGCAAGTACACTTTGGTGTTAAGCCTGAAATTCTACAGTAACTGGTTTGGTTTTGGGGTCTATTTCAATGAGTTCCTCTTGTTTCACAGACAAATAGACTGAAGTACATATATATAAATACTGAAGTAGTATTTGTACAGAATAAACTTTTGGTATGAATTTATGCAAGCTGGATTTTCAACCAGTTTCAGCTGACGTACAGACAGCTACATCCTGTGTTAGATTACTTCTGCTGAAGACCTAATCTGTCTTCTCCTGCCAGTAGGTAACAAACGAAGCCTAGCTGAAACCTTCAACACATTTTAAGTACAACTGTATTAGAGCTCAGTTTCTTACTGTTTCTGTGCCAAGAACAGTCCACAAAAAGAAGTTCACACTGAATAGCTGGTAGGCGTTATATCTTATAGGTTTTATTTTTGAAAACAAAACAGAACTTTGCAGCAGATATAGAAATGTTGTCTCGTATTTTGTTACTAAAGAACTGGCAGTTCCTTGTGCTATATCACAGTTATGGCATGCTCAAGTAACCTTTGCACCTCACTTAATGCTTTTACACTTAAAAAAAAAAAAAAAAGTCTGCTTCAGAGCAGGATTAACTGCACATTAAAAAAAAATTGTGATGAGCAATGAAAAGAGCCCAACAAATGGAATCAAGGAAGAATATTGTAATGCCAGGCAGAAGCATGTCACCTTAGGACGAGGATGTCATTCCATCCTGTGTCTTGAAAGTATTAGTGGGAATTTTGTCTTACCTGACAGTTAAGAGAGTGTCAGTGTAATGCCAAGCAGCTGCAAGTAGCAGTGTGAGAGCTGGGTAACAAACCAGGTCTAGATGCATTGAGTGGGCTGCACTACGCAGGTGTTTCATTGGAAGAATGAAATGAGAGCAGACACAAAAACACAGGGGTCTGAGTAATGAAGATGACTATATTTTAAGGTAATTCAGTAAGAAAAAAAATGGAATTGTAACTTCAGTGTCCCTGACTGAGCATACTGTACTGAGAAAAAAGATATTTTCTAAGATTCCTTCCAGCTTTTTACTTGCTGCATCAGAGCTTTTCTCTCCCTTTCTCAAATACGACCATTACATGGCCTTTAGCTCTGAAGCTCTTTCGTTCCTGGTATTTCTTTGCAGACAGCTGATGCGTAACCAGCAAAGGCAGTGCAAGATTGCGTACATTTCTTCTTCCCTGAGTAAGTGGCACTCAGCTGAAAAAAAAAGAAAGAAAAAACCCGCACAAAAACCCAAACCACGCCCCCTCCACCACCAAAAGTAAAAGCTTCCCTTCTGCTGCTTTTGACCCAGAAGCAGATCTCTGCTTGCAAGCAAACAACTGCTTTCTACTGGTTTCACATATTCTGTACCTGGGTCTTGCATGATACGAAAAATACATTGCAACCAAGGAATCTTCAGGTATCCAGGGCAAGAAAAAAAAGACAAGACCTCCCAAAGTCTAATTTTTAATCCTAAATAAAAAAGGTAAAACACAGGGACAGAACAGAGTACTGGTTTAAATAAGCTTTGAAAGTAGTGGGGATCTTTACGTTTAAATACGGATGATGCCTGCTATTTACTTTTAAAAAAGAAGCCATTCTGAGGAAGTTCTGGTGTTCGGAAACTGAAAACGTAGCAGTGGTTTCTTTATGTGAGATGACTTCACTTATTTCTGTGGGTTAGAAATGAGCTTTCCAGTTGTGTGAAGACAAAATCCAGAAACACATTGTGGAAACCTGGAAAGCTTAGAAGAAAGGGCAAATGGCTCTCCCTCGGTTTAACTACACTGAGTCCTGCCTCTCCCTCGTCCACAATCTCCAGCTTCATGCCAATATACATTCAGTGAATTCTGTGGCACTTGCATGTGTCTGCAGATCTTTCCAACAATGTCAAAAGTGTTGATCAAGGCTCAGAAGTTTGTAAAAATAAAATGAAAGCTCCCATCATAGACATCTTTAAGCAAGAACAAATGGGTGTAGGTTCTTTGCAAATACGCAGTGTTTTTGTAGTCACTGTGCAGAAGTTGGATGGATGATCTGATGGGAAACTACAGCTCACAGTTTTGGGGATCCATGTCTGTTTTTTTGGCATCTTCCATTTTCAGGTGGAAAACGAACTTGCTTCTTTTTAAGTGGGAAAAAAAAAAACCAAGAAAAAAAACAACTCATACTCTAGCTAAAAACAAGTTCTGCAAACGCTACTAAGTCAGCCATACGTAGAAGTGAACAACCACTTAATAGTAAAGCAGGGGAAGTATCAAAGCAGCTCTGTTTTAATAGCATTTATTTGCAATCATTAGTTTTAAATGGGAAACTGTTTACAGGCACACACTAGATAATCAAAATAGAACAAACATAAAGAAATCTATTTGACGGTCCTTTTCAAATATTTCAAATATTTTATTAAATATTTTATTCAGGTTTTGATCACAGTTTAATGTACTTTAGCATGTTATACACATGACTTAACATGTGCACTTAATATCAAATTAGATAGAGGTTTTTGAAGAAAGTACGACATTTTATAAATGTGCTTATTGACTTCTAACTACACACATCTAAGAAGGCAGTAGCTCCGTTATACCACTTATGGAGATGAACTATTATAAGGCATGTTTACACCAAGCTTTGGAGAGAATAAAGCCAAATACTGGGTCAAAATTTAGTGGAATTACGTATGAGAATAAAAGTTGAAGGACTGGGCCCTACAAAGAGATCACAGCAAATCAGATGTGTTAAAACTGTCAACACAGACTGGTTATTAAAAGCAAGCACTGCTGAGAAAGAAGATTCTCACAGTGTCTGTATTTTTTCAGACATTTTTGAAAATTACACCTTATGGCGTAACGTGAAGGAAAGAGAATGAAATTTTCCAAGAAAGTTTGAAAAACCATTGTCTGAGAAACCTCAAGTTGTTTTGGGACCTAACATGGAACGCTTTTATACAGGCAACGTCTTCCAAGCCACTGCATACCAATGTGTGTGTGTGTGTGTGTGTAGAAGGTATACACACACCTCTCTCCCTCTTGCCTTTGTCACCTTCAGACCACTGAATAAAGTGTAGCAGTGCGTGGAAAAAACAAGGTTAAAAGAGTAGGTTAGAGCACTGTATTCGGAAGCCTGGTTAGTTAGGCTGTACTGTGCGACAGCAGACATGTTTTTTTTTTTTTCCAGTAGGGTACAATGTGGGTCTGCTGGCATAAGTTAACGATCAAGATCCAGAAATTACAATATAATTCTTTGGAAGAACTCAACAAACATTAAGGTATTTGCATTTGTTTTTAAAACTCAGTGTCAATGAAGGCCCTAGGTCAAAATAACATGCCTCCTCCAGAAGCATCACAAAAGCCAAAGCTCAATTCTAGGGGCACAGTAGCCCGTAATCAGGGCTCCTGCACGGTCACACTGCAAACTACAATGCTGCCCCTCAAATAAGGATGGTTTTAGGCAGAAGCTCAGGTGTGTTGCTGAGTGGAGGTCTCAAGTCAGTTCTTCCTAGATGTCTGCCTCAGAAGAATCAGTGGGGGAACATAAAACATGCATCCACTTCATAAGCTCCTTCAAAGTTGTCAATTCAGTAGAAAATACTGAGTATATAAAAGACTATAATAGCAGTTAGGTGAGAGAATAAACCTCTCTGTGCCTTTTTATTGGGAAATTCAGGAGAGGAGGCAAAAAAAAAAACCTCTTTCACAGCCTAAATGCACTCATTCTCATCTCTCAGTGTCCTGAAAATGACTCAATGTTCTGGCAGCTTTAGATGATAGTTTCATAATATGTACAAGGTAAGAAGAATGCCACAGATAGTACAAAACATGGCAAAGATACCTACGAGCTCTACAATCTAGAAAACAAGCATGGCAAACAAACAGTGTCTAATGAATAATGTATGGTATACAACACAAAAGTTGCACAGTTATGTTTCCTTGTGAAATTAGGATTGCAAATGTAAACTCCAGAATAAATTTCAAGAGCAGCATTTGGCTTACTGCATGACCATTGGGAGTATCTGAAGTCCACCACCTGATGAGCGCAGCAATTCCTGCTCTTACACAACCCATTCTACTGGGCCTATATCCCGCAACTCATGTGACTATGGCAGAGTTTCAACAAATATGCTCCAGCAACACAGTTTGGCTACCACTATATATTCAGCCTGATGTTGTCAGATAAATGTTGCTGTTGGAAAGTAAAGCATACAGAGATATACAAATGGTATCAACGGCTGAAAAGATTAAATGATCAAGCCTGAAAGCAAATGGAAGTTAACAAAAGTAGTCTTTTAGGAGAGGTAGCCATATTAGACTCAGCATTCAAAAAAAGGGAGTGCACTCAAAGGACAAAAATACATTACAAGATCTTGTACACCCATTATGTTTTTGTCTTTCCTACAGTTTTTTTTTTCCAGAATGTATACACACGCGCGCGCACACATATATATCTTTTTTCCTAACTCCTCTTTGTTGCCACAACTTCACCATACTGAGAACAAAGGCCAGCTTTCCTTTTAACCTCTCTTAGCTGTCCTGTGACTACAACTGTAGCCTTCAATCTGTTCCAGTACCCGTACAGTAGCTAACAGGCAGCAGAATTAAATTGCTCCAATTTAATATCCTGTTCCAAATGATAGCATCCAAACTATAAGGCATTCCCTCATTCTGATGCAAGTTACGACTCTCTTGGGTTTCTGCTTGGTACAGACTGCAGAGTGCTCTTCAGCCTTACGCTACAAAAGTAGATTACACCCAAACAGTAAAGCACGAGGATGGAATTTGAACACTGGTTCACATGCTTCCATCTATCCCTTGTTCCTGCGCCCTTTTCCAACAACAACGCTCACCACGTTAATTTCAAAAGTCATGCACCAATGCTATAAAAGAGAAATCCAAATTAACAAGAAATCTTTTGCTAATGACTTTGGGATACTGTATTAGTATAAAAGAGCATTCAGTCATCTTAAATAAATATATTCTATTTCTGAAATCACAGCACATTCAAGGGGTAGTTACTGCCGTAAGCAGAGCATTAGGTGATCTCCATGGATGTTTTTCATCGATTTGGTCTAATATCTGGAAAATAACCTACTGTGGGGATAAGAATCTGCATCTCAAATGTTCTGCAGAACGTTCTTCCCATATTTGCATACAGTACTAGAATAATTAAGAAGACATTACAGTATTTTCCTCCCAGCTGCTTGCATCTGTAGCTTTGGCTACAACAATATATTCCGTATACCTCAAAACTATATATGAAATACCCAAGATCACTAAATAAATAAAAGCCAAGGAAACCTGGGACAGTACTGCATTTTACACTTGAGATGAGATTCCCCACTCCCATGGATAAGTGATAGAGAACAACTAAGGTAATTGCTTCTTTTTTTTTTTTTTTTTTTTTTTTAAAGAAAGATTTATACACAGGTTCAGATCCAGAAAATAATGTGAAATGCATAAATATTGATAGCTTTAGGCTAAGTTAAAATGGGTTCAGTAAAGTATGATACAACATATTCAGAATAAACAAAGCAGAAAAGCATCATATTTTGGTTTGCTTGAGATATACATAAGGTGCAACAATTTCTTTTCTAGAGGCATTTGTGGACAATGTGTTAACAGGTAACAGTGTTTGCTGGTATACTGAAGTACACACAATAGCAATATGATTTTTCCAAAACAAAAGCAGCTGAAATTAATAAAAATTAAAACAAAACAAACAAAGAAAAAAAAAAAAAACCCAACCCCAATACAGTAAGATATTGGTCTGAAATTTTTGTTGTGCTAACAGACTTTGTTACCTGAAAATACTGATACCCCTTCTAGTAGATTCAGGGAAAACTCTAGCTACTGAAATCAAGACGTCACTCAGAGAACCAACAAAGGCAAATGCCTAGTGAACTATAAAGCTTTGCAGGATTTCTGCTACTCTCAGTGCCTAATCGCTTAAAAATTAAGCATATCTACAAAAAGGTTTATAAGTATCTGAAAACAGTCATATCCAGTAAACTGACCCAACCCTACCCCCTCTCTAAGGGAAAGTCAAGGAAAAGCAGATCAAGTAAGATATTAATTCATATAGAAAAAAGTAATTTTCTGTTTCTTTTAAAAAAGGTACCATTAATATACAGAAATATCTTCAGGAACAATATTGAAATTTAAATTGAGGAAGGATGGGGTGCTTTGACAAAAATATATCTACTCTAAAGGTTTCTAGAGAAATAAGTTAGTACCATTGTCAAGGTGAACGGCCTGCACTGTAACATATTTGGATTTCAGCTAATTATAAAGTGGTCCAAAACTCCAACAGCCACCTTGCTGTGACCCAACAGTTTAAAGTCTTTAGCTTTTCCTGTCTTGTTAAAATAACTTATAAAACTTTAATAAAATCTTATTAAAAAATACTGCCATAGGCTACAATGGCATTTGAGGGGCTCTTAGTCATATATTCACCTGAATTTTTAAAAAAGCCTTTTCACTGACTCATTGGCTCTGAAATTTTGTTGTTCTTTTGTAGTTGTTCCCTTCTTCCAACACATGCATCTTTGATGGTGCTGTTTTAGTGAGACTTTCCAAGCTGTCTACCCTAGTCAAACCTTTAACCCTTCGTTACAACTCTCGTGGTATCTTGTTATACTGTTTCCCAACAATGAACCAAAGATTTTCACTTAGCTACAACAATGAAAGGCTAAACCTAGCAAGCATTAATAGAGTTACTGTCCATATGGCTATTACATCAAATTAGTTACAAAATAACCCCAAAACATATTATCAATTCAGTCAAGTATAAATAAGAATGCCTGATAGAATGATGTAAACTCGCATCATTTAAAGACTTAATTCAAAGAACTTCAAACTCAATCTAATACTATCAAAAATTCAGCCAGTATGACGAAGACTAATATAAAATTATTGCTGGAGTCCAATTTGGTAAATTGTTGTGCTACAATGCAAAAATTAGGGAAACATCTTGTGCTATTGAAGAAGTACCCTGTTGAATTTGTAGCTTTAGTTTAATTACTAGTGATCATTTTGCATCTGTTGGTAGGAATCAATGCTTGGTTATACAATAGTGTAAGTCGAAATAGTGAAGACAGCAGGCCAAGTGATACAATTGGCCTGGCTTTTGGGATGCATTTATGAGAGCAAACCACAAAAATTCAGCATAAGCAAAGATAGAAGCTGGCAGGTGGATCTGTGGTAGTCTGAATTCAGTCAAACATTACTCTTTAGTTGTAGTTTATCTGCATAAAACTTTCCCCTTGACCAACACAAACTGTAATTGGCCCTTTATACAAACTCTGAAGCCGTCTGTGCATAGTAACTACAACAATGCCAGTGTCTTTAAAATGTAAAAGGTATGCTTACCAGAGTACATGTATATTGAAAAGTCATGCTTTTAGGTCTTTCAGAATGGTGAAATAATACTAAGGTCACTTTTGAAAAACATATTCGCAGTACTTTTTGTTTACAGGAAAGTTTCACCAAGTCACTCAGATATCTATGCAAAAATAAAGGAACCTTCCAAGGCATTAAAGACAAGTCAATTCTCTGCAGTATTTTTCTTTTCCATACACCACTCCTTTTTCTAATGCACATCATCCTGGTTATTCAAAGCTAAATTAAAAAGAAACAAAACCCAAACATAGCCTGTCAGAATTTTTGCCAGTAAACTCTACCACTCTGGTGGCAAATATAAAAGTGCAGAACATCTGGACCACGTGGCTGCCCAAACACCGCTAACAATGGTACATCTGTCCAGGCTGCCTTGAGTTCTCTGGAACAGGTTTTATATTCATTCTACAATATAAACGTAGGCATAACCTATTAATATAAACCATCTTAGAACTTAAATCTTCATGTACAAAAATGACTAAGAATATCTAATAATAACTAGTGCAGTGCGTCAGTGTTTTTGTTGTTGTTGATTTTTTCATTTTCATTTAACTAGGCATTATATGAAACTAGTTGCCATACTCTCTGGTTGGTAAAAGAGATGCTGTGTGAACTAACAGTAAAGGCAGCCTTCTTCATATCAACCACCTATTTACTGTTTAAAAGCCTTCAATAGAAAGCAAGCTCTGGGATCATTCCATTCCTGTTCATTAATAGACAAATAATATCACCCTCCTACATACTGGGTTCCGATTTGAAGACCTGGCCCATGTTGCTAATGTCTGGCTTCCAGTGAATTCTGGGCCACTCAGAGCAATAAGCACTTGCTTGCAGTCTATAGTTTCCATCACATGGACTGACTAGCTTCCCTTGGTAAAGACAAGGCTAGGATATTAGGTAAAGCACAATGTTTTACAATAAAGTGGAGCTTCACTGGTCAGCGCAGGAAATAAGCACTGGAGCCTGAGACATTTCATTTGGCTGTCCATCATGTGGGAGAGGTGTGGCCCTCTGATTTCTGCAAAGAAAAGAAACCCACTGTTATTCAGAGCATGGAAATGCTTTTATCAGACAGGAAAGACAGAAATTAGCAAGTGATATAGTTCAACGTCTAGTGAACTCCACGCTGCCACAGATGTCCACATATTGCTGGCTACTAACTCTGTTTATAGGTATTCCTGCAACAATAAGAAAATATCCTGAAGACAACCTGCAATACAATGCAAAGTCAGACAAGTCTTGATGGTATTTGATTACACAAAACAAAACAGATGGCCAAAGAGTAAGTTAAGAGCACACAAGTGCTGTTACACATTTTATAAGTGAGTGGTATCAGCCCTCAGTAGTGGAGAGCACAGCTCACGTACAGCAAAAGATGGCAAATGCACAGAGGCGTATGTCATGTTAACAAGAGTCAATAGCTAGCTTTTAAGCAAAACAAAAATATACCTATCAGCAGTTACATGCTGGGATGACTCCAAGTTTCATGACCTAACACTTCATCAGCCCAGCACAACATCTCTTTCATTACTTCAGCAGTGTTAATTTACAAATGATCCCCTGGCACAGGATATCATAAAAATACACCGCACCAGAATTACGTGCTGAAAATCAATGTCAGTCATTGAAGCAGATGGACCTGGGAGAACTCCTTTGCAACTTGCCTTTTAAAATGCATGCAAAAGAACGTCACTGCCTGTTATCTAATTTCTCAAGTCAGATTCTATTATTGTTACATTATGTGTCACTTTGAGCAGTGAAAATCTGGAGCCTAATTCTTACTTACACAAAGGCTGCTTTGATTGCACTTTGGCAGATCTACAGTCTCTACAGAAATGTCGGTACTGACATGCTTTGCACACCTGTAGTGCAGTGAAATGGCCTTGGTACAAAATGCAGCTCAGGATCATAAGCACTTTAACTATGGCACACACAAGGTAACCAAAGCTAAACAAACATTCAAATGACAATCATGCTGTCACTTCCAGACAAGCTCTAATTACATTTAGAAAGGACTCTGGCTTCTGAGGCCCAAGACTGTGTAAAATTACATAATAATTGAACGTAGACTCTGAAAAGAACACATCAAGCAAACCTCTAATGCTATTCTTCTCATTTCTAGTTATTCAGAGATAAAGAAGTTGCACAGATAATAAACAGTCAACAGAGTAGAAGTTAGAGAAGCATGCAGCCCATGAGATTCAGGTTTCTGTTTTGACTTCCATTTGACAAGTCTGTAAGAGACCTATGGCACAGTTGCTACTTGGAAAGAGTTTCCTTTTTCATTTTCCCTAGTGACAGAAGCCGGAATTTGCAACAGTTGCTAGACGTTTGGTGTTTTCAGGCCTCACGGAAGGTGCCACACTGCTCTAACTGCATGATGAGATGACAAAATATGGTTGTAGGTAAGGAAGACCCAAACAGAAGGGTAAGTAAAACACTGGTTCAAAACACTATTTTTAAGGAGGAAAAATGAAGGAGAAAAAACTTTTAGGAAAACAAAGAGGACATCATCATAACTAAGTGAATCTTAGTTATGTAACTAAGTCACTCCTGTGCTGCTCTTCTCACAGCATTACTGGAAATCAATGAAACCACAAGGATGCAAATGAGAGCAGAACTCAGGACAGCGCTTCTCCAGGTTTCATTTCATGGCTTCCAGCCATGGAAAATGACAAAAACAAGTTCATACTTTTGCAGTCTTGATAGCAGACTGCTGTTTTGCAAAACTGGGAGAAAAGTCTGGGCTGACTGTAGTATGAAAACATTTCTCACTTGAAATGCTATTGTGTAAGCAAGGTAACAGCTTCGGCAGAGAAAAGGTACCAGGCTGAGTTCATCAGACTTTCTTTCTTGGTGCCCTTCAAGCTTCTGAAAAAAGTCAGTGTTTCACATTAAGTCTGAATACATAGAACTGGATTGCCCAACAGGGGCCACAAGATCAACAGTAGGTTGTGAGGTTGTGAATGGCTTCATCAACCGCTGCCTTGTGGTTTCTTAGGTAGCCAGTAATCTGTTACATGCCATTTGCTCAGGCTGTGATGGTTTCAGACTGTCCTAGATTTCCTTACTGACTTTCCACTATAGCAAAGGATATAGGCCATCATATCTCCAATAGTGGGACAATACTAAATAATTAAGAGCTAAAGACGACTTGCTGTCATTCATTTCCTCCCATCACAGGTCTAGAATGCAAGATCTGACCATGCTGGCTGAACTGACCCAACAGGCCTAAGAGATCTGTGCATTCTCCATATTATCTGCGTGGATGGCCTAACTCTTACACTGAGAGGACCAAACCAAAGTAATGTGACTTTCCATCACTCAGAGCTGTTCTGCCCTGAGGACATTCTGCAGATGCTTTTCCTCCTACACAGCAAAGGACAAGAGTAAAAATAACAAGCAAGCTTCATTCAGTCATGTTCAGTAAAAAATCTGTGCTAGTTACATGAAATTCTCTGTGCAGTCTTAGGCCACAGAGACATAGAAAACAGCGTACAATAGCTGTTTAAATCTATCATCTGACAAATGGTGGCTGAAAATTAGAAACTCCCCATTATTAGGATCTCAAAGAGCATATTAAATGATTTATACACAAAATTTGGGAGTCAAGTTTACAAAGGAGAATAATTTTACTGACTACTGAAATAGACTACAGCGTCATGTAGGTGTCGACTTAACACTAGGAAGCTAGTGGTGGAAAACAGACATTCAGAGAAAGCAGTGGAGGAGGAAGCACAGGCCAAATTAAACACTATGCAATTCACGTGCTTTCTGAACATTCTGGCATCAAAGAGAAAAGAAAATCATACCTGTGTACATTTTCCATTGCTGCTACCTCTGCCAGAGCAGCTAAGCTAAAAAATGCAGACACTGCTGGCATATCTGATGTAATACTATGATTTTCTTGTGTCTCTGCATTTCCGGAGCATTCACTGTTGCAATCAGTTTCTGCACTCGACGCTTTTTGAAGACTGCTCTGTGGAAGATCTTTTGGCTTTTCCTCTGTAACAAAAGAGAGTTAAGCTTGCAAGTCTAGCTCTTACATTCATAGCAGTACATTGAGGTACTGACCAGTCCAGTGTTAACAAAAACTTCACCATTAGGACTTCGATTGTGCTAGTAAAATTAATTCATGCTGCAACTTCTTCTGAACCAAGCTAATGACTGAAGCATACAGAGGTTTATGAAGCAGTTTACTGACTTTGGATTCAGCTAAGTTTGATCCTCCAGGTCAGTGAACAGAGCTTGTGTCTCTGTGTATGTTTAAGATACAAGAAGCCCGAAAGATTATCTTAACCACTGAGGCTTTTGCACTGATTGTCATACCACAGAATAGTTTTTATGTCATATTACTAAGTGCACTATGATTACTTTGCTGGACTGGAAAGAAAGTATGAAATGGTATGAAAGTATGAAATGAAAGTCTTTCATTTCTTTCTGTAATCAGCTCTTAGAAAAATACCAGGGAGAGATGACAGATGTGGGCAGTCAAACAAATGGAGTTGGCCATTAAGGATGTAACCATTTCACAGTTGATCGATATTTGCATTTTATAGAATGATCTTTCCGAGCAGGTCTAAGAACGTGCTGGCTGAACAATACTTTCCTAATTAGTTGCTTGTGCTTTAATATAATCTCCAACTATTCAATTTGAACAAAATTTAAACTTAAACTACCATTTCCTTACCCAGTGTCCCTCCTGCTGGTGACACGCGGCCATCTGCTGTTCGAACAAGATGAGTGATCTTAGTTTTCCTTGCTTTCCTTTTCTGGCTTCCAACTAAAGGCTCATGCATCATCGCTGGCTCTGGAGTGTTTAGGGCAGATATACAAATTTTATTCCTCCAGGCAAGCTCAATGGGATTTCTGTCTTCTGAGAGTATGGCTGAAAAAGAACAAAAATAAATTAATCTACATTTAAGATACAACTCCTGGCTATTCTCATTTAACATTCTGTAAATATCTACATAATGTACTAAACTTTTCCTCACAAGTACTCAGAGCACAAATCAAGGCAAAATATCATCTTGATCTGGCAGGGGCTTGCACTGGAATAGTAGCATAAGATTTCCTAGGAGGTTCAAGTTTTTAACATTTGCAAAGGAAACTGTGAGACAGAAAGTAGCATTTCAGTTTGAGCATGTTATCAGAGTGTACAACACTCCACAACAGAAGATGCCAATAAGTAGCTAACAGACAAAGACATTTAAAGAACAATAACAGCTAGGGTCCTCACGTAAACTTATCTTAGCTCATAGCCAGACTCACAAGTGGCAATCAGGAATTCCTGAATAACCCTCACACTTCTCTTTCAAGTCACTCTATTTCACCTCCTTTAAGCAGAAGGAAATGCTGCTTTCTAAAAATAATAAAGCTTAGAGAAACCTAAACGCAGCAAATACAAAAGCCTAGATCACTCAAATACAAGAATGCTTAAAGAAAAAATAAATAAATAAGTACAGGACAGAATACTATAATTACTACAATGGGATCACTACTTACATAAAGTGAGAGTACAAACTGAACTGTTTGAAATTCTTTCAACAGTACCAGTATTCACATTTCAAAGCAGCTTTCCATCAAGAGGTGGAACATGATGACAGATTTTCACCTGACTAGACACTAGCTTCACTCTTGTTCACGCAGAAATTGGTCAGACAGTAATCACTGGCAGTATTTAAGTTTCCAAAGTCTGAGATCAGCATACAGTCATAAACTGCCTGCCACTTCCAGTGATTTAATAAACCACACTGCTGATACCACAGGGTTTCACAAGTTCATAAATTCAGTCTGGGAAAATTTTTCTTCTTTGATAAAAGCATTACTTCGTTCGTGCTTACAGAAAGATAGGGTTAGCAACAAAGGGAATGCCCAGGTCATTTCTTAGAGGCTTCCCTTGACTATTTTGAAACTGAGAGCACTCATGGCATCTTCACCAACTCCACAGGTTGTTATTCTCCCAGATGCCTCCTGAATGATTACATAATTTTTCCTAACATCTCTATCTATCTTTTCCGTGCATTTTCAACTCATTATTTTCTTTACTACTCATCAGGTTACAGCTCGTCTCTTTTTAACACTCCTTTATTTCACAGTTGTTACCCATGTCCACATTTTCTTCCTCTTCCCCACCGTTTCCTTCAATCTTTGTTCCTGTTTTCAAGAAATATTTAAAACCCATTTATTCACTCTGTGGGTGACAGGACGTGCAAAACTTCAGTCGGAAAGCCAGCAACTGCACTTTCAGAAGAGTTAAGCATTGAAGAAGACCAACCTCCTACACTGAGACTGGGAGTATCATGCAGGAGCAACCAAACCTCCCAGATCGCACACAACAGTCCACACGTCATTTTAATAATATTTAATGTTTATGTACTGGTTAGATATGGCTAATATAAACTCTTTTTTTGGGTAGCTTCTTTGAATGCTAACTATGAGACTGGGAACGGGCTGAAGAGAATAGCTACAACACAGTTTTGTCCTGCAATATGCTGCCTTTGCTTTCTTGGAAAAGAGCCCTGTTTTACTGTATTATAGCAAAAGAATATGAACAGATCTAGTGTATACGTGTAAAAGCATCTGGAAATGTTACAAAACTTAATGAATGTTCTTGAATCCACCTTTGTGCTTTCCCTCATAAACCATTTTTGGAATTATGCATGTTCTTTATTTTGAAAAATGCACAGCACTTCAGTGAGCTTTCCTCAGTGTTTACCCATAAATACTGATACTCTGCAGAGCAGAGTTTTGCTGTAAAACTTTTTCTTTTATTAAAGAGTACATGAGTGATTGCAATAACATCTGCCCAAAAGCAGTACAATTAAGAAGAAGCACTAGCGACTATAAATGTGACTTCCAAGTAATTCAATTTACCTAATAGTGAGATGTTCAGATAAGCTTACTGCACTGACTGGGACCAAAATCTTAATTGGAATGTATAATTAAACAGGCAGCTTTATCTCTAGATTTCTAATTTGGGAATTCAAAAGCGTTGATTATGTATTAATGTAATGGCTTGGTTGTAGCCCAACTGTATTTGCTAATTCTGATTCAGGGATTTGCTCTAATTAGATACTACTTTGACAATGCTGTTTAATTCTAAGATTGGGTTTATAATGGCTTTAATTTTAGCAATGCACTTTTATGCACTTTTTTTTTTTTTTTTTTTTACATTTAATAAAACCATTAAAGAAACAATTTCAAATAACGAACATCTGAAAGAAAGGAACTTGGGTATGTTTTTAGTTAAATATGTATTATTTTATGAGCTATGCCAGGTCACTGGGAATTATCTTGATTGGTAAATACAATAGATAGTTCTTATTAAAATTCATGTTTTATTTTACACATTGCATCCATCAAAAAACTTCCAGAAAATATAAAGTCTTGAAAGGTATAAAATAAAAATAATAAAAAAATTAAGAAGGCAATAGTTAGCATTATTAAAGACATAAAATGATAAAAAAAAATGCAACAGATTAGGATAAAGCAGTACATCTATCTTAAGTGTTTCACTAAAAAACAGCAGAAGGTGACTGACAAATTCAGGATTAAGTGTATCTCTCCCTGTTTTAAGGTAACTCAGTCTTTAAAAGGAGACTTAGAGTCCTCTATAATTATTCACTTAGCTTAGGAGAGCTAACACTTCACTGTAAAATTGCCATGCATTTTGAATGAGAAAGGAATAAAAATGAAGAGTGAATGAGTGGGGTTTTGTGTTTCTTCCCTCACCCTTTGGGGTGAAAAGAGTGGGTGCTGAAGGGAAGAGTTGCTTTCCTCAAGAGGACTTTTCTACTTTTCTTGGTGGAAGTTGGGTTAAGAGATTATCTCATTGCCTTCTTCTCAGATTATTTATTCAAACAGAGATAAAACTGAACTCAGAGGAAATTATACAAGACTAAAGGCTCTCAAGACCATTTGCACTGAACTTGAGACAAACAACTGGATGGCAAAGCAAGGTACAAACAAGGGTTCTCATCCTGCACTGCTTTCAAGAAAATCAGTACCCCACTGCTTCCACTGACAAAGGTGTGTCTGTTTGGATGCTTTAAATCGAGCCTTTGATTTGCAGTGCTGAAATGACAGGGCTAAACAAGTTTAATTCCCTGGTTCTTTTTAGTCATTTCTTGAATCCATTTTGTATCCCTTTTGCTTCCATGCTCTCCTACCTGTGTGAGCAGTGTAGAACTCATCTAATTTTCAGAATGCTTTCTAGAAATGAAATGAGGTTCTGTTCTACTGTTCAATCCTACATTTCTGTGGTTAGCTTACTATATGACAGTAGAGCATGCAGAACTTGGGGACTATTTTTTGCAAGAGGAGTTGAGCACATGATATGAAAGTCTAGACCTTCTGGTATACTTACACTGTGGTCACAAAAATGACTTAGAAAAAAAAGCACCTGGAGCTGTATGCCAGATGGTTTCCTGAGCTAGATTTGTTTAAAGCTAGCATGGACCGTTTACCCTACTCTGCAGGCCTACAGAATACATGAAGTCTTCTTATTGCTTCCATCTACGGTTGGTTCTTTTTTGCATTGTAGAGTGCAAGCTGCAGCACACCAGAACACAAGTCTAACGCAGCAGATGAGAAACTGGCATAGGTCTAACTCAAGTCTTACACATACGGAAAAAAAACCCACAAAAATCAATGGAGAGAGAAAGTGAGGATTTAAAAGATGCGACTCACTGCCCTCATTTTGCTGATTTTTATCAACTATCAGTACTTCTGTAAAGTTGCAGCCAGAGATTGGAACTTCCTTGTTAATGCTAATTTTGCAATTAGAGCAAAGCCAGCTAAGGTAGTATCAAGAACACTGACAAACATCTTTACCTCATCCCTTTTCTAATGCCATACTGAACAAGGATAAGACAAGACAGAGCTCCCTTTGAGAAATGCTAGTGCCAAAACCACACTCAAATCACAGAGGCAGGTCTACAATAAGAACGCTCTATTCAAGAGCCCACTCAACAGCTACTGATCTCACTCAAAACTGAAGAACTATTTATCACCTGCCTTTGTGAGTATAAAATGACAAAGCAGCTCAGCACACCACAGAAACTGTCAGTAACACACCAGGTAGATCAAAAATGATTTCTTCAACATCTGGTAACAGGAGTTGTAGCAGTTCTCAAGCTGTTAAAGATGAAGGCAGCGTGACCCCTGCTAACAGCAACACTTACAGGTGTCTCCAGCTATTAGAATATCCAAGTCTCTCCTTCCTCCAGCAAAATTAACTTCATAAAAACCATAACATATACATACTTGTGACTCATCAGAAGTACAAAATAACCAAAATAACTAAGCCCTTGTTTATTTTTTTTAACTCAAACAAAACACACAGATATCCAGCTTGAGTGCTTCTGAACATGGAATAGTTCTTGGATTCGAAGAGTTTAGGGCCACACTGCCAAGGAATTCATGAAACTATGATGTATGATGTACATCAAGGCCATACCCAGACTGCATTTTGCTGATAACTGTTCCTCACTGTGTAGTTACGGTAGCCAAGATACCAAATTTTCATTACTTTAACTCAGAAAATACAATTCCCCTTGAACATGTGTGTGTGTATACACACACACACACACACACACACACACACACACACACACACACACACACACCAGTATCTTTCCTTTGATGATTTCCATGTGGGCTGTGTAAGGCTGGTAGGTTCAAGCTTCTCATGCCTTTTTTCAGTCTTGGGACGAACTCAGCAAACTGGCCCTGCTCCAGCAAATGCATAGACACGTCCTTAATGTTTAGACACTATGATACTATTCACATTCTCAACTTCCTGGGGCATGCCGCTGTTGTACTGGAATAAGGCCAGGGTATTCAACACTTGTCAAGCTTTAATCTTTGATCATAGTGCATACTTCATACTTCATTTTATACCAAAACAGGCTGGTTTCTTTTAATCAAATAGGTTTTTGTGTGTTGTTGATAACAACACTTCATGTTTTATCTACAGATATTTTTTACTTTATCTTGTATTAAATGCTTCTATTTCTTTTCCTATAGGATAATGTTAATATTGCTTTTTAATGTTAGATTTTAGTTTTACTTAAATTAATTTATCTCTATGGTCTATTAATAATTAAGACACAACAATTTGACTGGCACCCAGTGATAATGTGTGGTGATATCTTTCTCACTCTGGTGTGGAAGCATGATAGTTACTTTTTATGAGCAACTCCCACAACATGTTTATTATGCAAATCCCATGAAAAAAGAATAAGTAATTTAAAAATATTTGTATTGCTGGATGCAGAAGAGCTGGCAGAGACTATATGGGAAAACAGTGCAAGTGCACCACAGAGGATACAAAACATAGCATCAGGAAAGGAGAACAAATGACACAGCTAAGCCTTAGGGAAAGGGATCAAGCATAAAGATCCTGGGGAAGCTGTCATTTTATTATCTTAAAATGGGATACACATGGAGAGGGAAAAAAAAAATAAATGGAAGAAATTAATAGAGCCTTATAAATGAGTGACCAGGGAGGCCCTGCTACACTACTGGGATGATATGGGAGAGAACTCTACTCCAAGATCTGAGTATCATGGAGTAGGGGGGAAAAAAAAAAGATAAAAAGAACAGGCCTTGGAAAACAGGCTTAGTTATAATTGTGTACACCCAGTACACATAAAAATGATCCTAGAAGTTATGAAGTGTAGGTAAGTAGGATCAGAATGCTGTAGCAAGAAAAAGAATTTGGAGATCTATCAGCAGGATAGAGGACTGAGCAAGACCCTAGCAGAATTTAAACTGTAGATGTTATCTTCAACCTAAGGGAGAACAGGAAGCTGGTTAAGACTTCTGCAGAGGGAGGGTTGGTTCAGGGTTGCAGGACTATTTTTGAGAACTGGTGCAGAAACCAGCTTTCAAGCCCCAACCAGCTGTAGTCTGCAGAGTTCTAGACAGATGGAAATAAGAGAGAAAGGAGCAAACAACTTGAATAAATGGTCTGGTCAAGTGCAAACAATCTGGTCTCTGATATAGAAAGGGATGGAGATAAGGAAAACTAAAGGACTAGAGAGCTATGAGCAGTGGAAGACAAAAGTAGTTCAGGGCCAAATACAGAACGGCCCATGCTTTGCCAGCTCTGTTGCATAGAGTCTAGAACAGGGAAATTGTAATTGGAGATACCAATAAGCAGCAAAACAGTATCATATTGGAATATTGTAATATGATCAACTGGAGCCAGGAGCTAGTGGAATCAAAACAGACAGGGCCATAAGGGATCAAAGCAATCTAATACCTCTGCCTAGAAGCATTACCCAAGACTGAATTCAGAGAGCATACAGCTCTAAACCTTAACTAAGTAATTCACTACCAGTACCTTTGTCCGGAACATTAAGCTTCTTCTTTTTGTGCTTATATTTGCTGACAATTTTGGGGAAAAAGTTCTTTCTCTTAGACTGGACTGAACCTACAGACAACATTAATAATACATACTTTTAATTAGCAGTTTTTAAAAAAACTATAACAGTTACAGTATCTATTATAAAACCTCTAATTCCACTAATGCAGGACACCATTTAACAGGGAAGCACAATAGAGAAAGTCTCCATTTTGTCTCCTGGAGACTTTTTGTGGGCTTCAGTCGGCTGTAGTTCAACTCAGCAGCTTTTAATGCTTAAGGGTCCCATAGCATTTTGAAGAATGACCACTTGAAACTTTGCCATACCATAAAAACAAAAGTTTTGTTTGTTTGAAGACATGCTCCCTTTTGGATGTATAATGGGGCGGAGATAACTTTCTTCACAGCAGCCCGTATGTACTGTTTTAAATTGGTGACCAAAACTGTGTTGCTAACACCCCACTGTTTCAGTTGTTATTGAACAGTGCTTGCATCTAGGCCTTGTGTTTTCAGACTCCCCACTAAGGAGGCTGGAGGTGAACAAGAAGGAGGTTGATAGAGGACACAGGCATGGCAGTTGATCCTAACAAACCAAAAAGATATTTCATACCATGTTTCACCACATTAAACAGTACAACTGGGGACAGGTTTCCAAAATAACTGTTACTCAGGAACTAGCTAGGCATGGGTTTGTTGGTGGTGAGTGATTGTTTTTGCACTTCTGATTCTATACCCCATCCCGCTCTTGGGGAAGTGAGTGAGTGACTGCACAGTAACTTACTTACCAGACAGAGCCAATCCACCATAAGATGCAAGAGTTAGGTTTGCTTTTTTGGATACCAGAAATAATTTTATAGCAAATGCAGAAGCAAAAGCTCCCAGGGGAGAAAAGTGAGAGTGTGTTCAGCTGTTATTGTTCCCACTTTGATAGTACTCTTTACTAGAAATAGTCCAAAGACACTTTAAGTGACAGTAACCAACAAAGCATACCACTAGCACAGGTGAAAAGGAAACCATCCTTTGACACACAAATGGGGTAAACTGCAGTACAGCAGCAAAGGTATAACAGATCAAAGACAATAGATAGATCATCTCTACACACTGCAAAGCCATTTTTATGGAGTTACTTCTCGGAAACAAACTGCACAAATTGCCAAAGGTAAGCAAGTCCTCAGGCTAGCTCAAACAGAGTTGTCTAAACAGAAGGGAGATGAGCTGCAGATGAAAAGATAGCTGATATCCTACAAGAGGGCATCCAACTGCTGTGTGGCAGGATCTGTATCCTACTTGTCACAAACCTGACCTCCACTTCTTCTCCTTACAAGAAACCAGACATACATTACCTACTGATACAAAACTGCAACTAAGTAATGATGTGCAAGATAAAACCATGTTATGCATCTGATGTTTTGATCACTACCAATCCCTGTATATCAGGAATGAAGAAGGAAAATGTGTAGCACTTGCAAGAAGGATCAAGATTTAGTAGAATTCACAGAAATCGGGTTCCATTTCAAAAATACTGAAAAAATAGAGAGAGAAAGGTAAATTCCAGACAGGTAAGAAATACTAGGATTTTTTATACTTTGTCTTTGTGGATAACAAGAGCCTTTAAAAACAAAACAAACTTAATCAAAAACAATAAAGCCACTACAGAAATCAAAATTTGGAAAAAGATAAATAATATCAGGAAATGTCCAGACATCAAAGAACAAACCAAAGCAAAAAGTATTCCAGGCACCATCTTAGACAGCATTAGCTTGAATTTTAATAGCTTTATTAGAACACAGAGAGAGAATGCTAGAGGGCTTGGTAGAATAGGCTGTATTCACTCAAACTTATTTGACTGTTTCTGTGAATTTTGTAATAGGTTCCTGAGTATCACAGAGTTGGATGAGCAATATACTGCCAGAGCAACAAAAATGCAAAATAAGGCACACAAAAAATCTCAGAGAGGTTAAGGTAAAGTGTAAGTGGAAAAAAATGATCTTTTCTGAAGACTGATGTCTAACACTTCATTCAAACAAACAAAGACAAATCCTTCTGACAGTTCATTCCACTAGATACGCAAGAGAGGACTCAGGACATTTTTGTTACTATGGTTGTGTTTCTTTGGTTTGTTTTTTATTTTTGCAGGTGTTTGGTACTGGCAATACTTTACATAATACCACATTAGTCTCCACTTCTATAGCTCAGCCTGCACCCTTACAAACTGTTTAAATCAATTCCATAGACTGCCAGCAACCGAGGAGCATAAATGAGATTAAAAACTCTCCAGAAAATGACAGTCATTTCATGAAGAAGGAAAACTGTCTCTAATTTCTCCTCTATTATTCAAGAAACATTTCTGATAAGCTTACACCTGCAACATGAAGGGCATTTTGCAACACATGACACTTGCATATGGTATTCTGTTCCCACGTGGAAAACTCAAAACATTGACCTCATTGGGATGAAAAGAGAAGACATCTTCTTATAAAGAAATTTCCAATATCCTACCCTTTTAGCCTTTTTCTTGTGAGACAATGTCTACAATTACTTCCACATTTACATGTACAAATTGTCTAGCAATTGCTAAATAGACTGTTCAGCTCTTTGAAAACTGTCACATCCAATTCTTTCCTTAGATTAAGAAACGAATCAATGAACTGCCAAATACAGACCTCAGCTGGAGAGACAGAGATCAACCTCCTGCTGAGGTCCTTGCCTTATCCTATGAGGCCGCTGGGTTGGTGCAACTCCCACATTCTCCACAGCTCCCAGAAGAACTGAGCTCACCAAATATTATTCTCTGCATTTCGAAATTTCTCAGGAGAACAAAGTCGCATTTTTGTTACCTTTGAAATTTTACAGCATGTCATCTCCAGACATCCTAATGCTCAAAACTGAGTCCCCAAAATCCCAAGCTAAGGCTGAAAGGAATGCCACAGAGAAGTTACTTTAATTTGATGCTTTATTTCTAGTCCTAGAGTCCATAAAAAAAAACCAAAAATGCAGAAAACTCCTTTCATAAATAACAGTATAATATGCTTTCCTCTACTAGCCTTTGCAAAACAAGAGCTTTAGTGAAGTGCTTAGTGTGTAAGTGAGCATTTCTTCATAGCACACGACAGAAATAATGACTATGCCTGCTGCTCATTTTTGCAAATAAGTATATTAGTGACTCACTGTAGACTGATGGCTTCTGTGCGGTGGGATGTTTTGGCACATATGCCATTGGAAAGAAGAAAAATAAAATCAGTCACAGATCCAGCGAATGTTGGAGCAGTCCATCTGTACAGATTCAGGATGGCTGTATTTTTCAGCCATTTTGTTACATTACTATAGTAGGTGCACAACCCTGGTACCAAAGAATTGGGGTGGGATTTACAGAAAGGTTGTGGCTTGTTCAGTTCTACTCCCACTGATTCCTGCTAACATGACGAGAGCAGAATTTGGACAAATTAGAAACTTCTGGGGAAAAAAAAACCAACAACCTCTTTCATTTAAGAAAATTCAGTTCTCACTTTACACGTGGATTTAAAACAGTTACGTCACAGGGTTCTGTAAGTGTTTTTATATTGAAAGAACTACCTAAAGTGAGGACTGGGCACAAGATAATGGAAAAGTTCAGTGGACACTGATCTACTGATTTTCTGCTTTAGAGTAAAAAAAAATGTCCTGACAACCCTGTCTGTTTGGGTCAGGCAACAAACCAGGCTTATCTCCTTATTTAGCTTTCTGTAACTATAGTTTAATCACACTTGACAGAAAATCAAATGTGGCACCCTTGTCAGGCAGGTTAGAATATGTTTTTTTGTTTTGTTTTAAGGCATGGAAACCTAGTTATGAAACAAACATCCCACCTCCAAACAAACAAACAAAAAATCCTCTATTTTTATTTTCCAAACATCCTGTGGAAGTTTCAGCGTGCATCACTCCCATCTACTTTCCAGATTTAGTAAGCACTAATCCAAAGTCTGCAGAAAATATACTTATCTGAAGGCTGAAAATGCATGGGAAGTTTATCATTCTGTAGACGGTCATTCAGGAAAAGCTGGGCTCAATTTTAAAGAGTGCTTGCTAAACCTACCCCTAATGATCATTATGTATTGTTGGAAAAGTATCACATAGGAGGCCTCAGCCATTAGTTGGCACCATTTGTAATGGATGCTTCTTCTAAAGACCTTACACCAGAAACGACTCCAAGAAAGCATAAGCAGCAAAGACAACTCCACACAAGAGGACAAGACACAGCACAGCAAAGTTAAAGTCTTCTATGTCCCAACACAGAGTCACATCCATAGAGTTGTACTGCCTCTTAACAGTTCATGCTCATCACACTGCAAGAAAAAAATGCCACTTCTGCTTTTGCTGAATTCTAATGGTATAAACATGGTAATTCAAAAAACGCAGAACCATTCCAAAACAGTCTCCATCATTTTGCACACGTCTGCTTCCCATGCTTCCCTTTAGCAGAAGCCCAGTTTGTAGACCTGTATGCGTAATACCACTGGAGACCAGAATTCTCTAGGTGTCTTTGGACTCACAGTTTACAAGCAAGCCAACAGCATGTCTAGGCTGAACAGTCTGTCAGAAGACAACAAATTAATTTGGGAATTCAGCTAAATGGGTGTTTGACACAGCTGGAACTGTTTCCCTATAGATCTGGTAAGCTTAGTTGCGTGCAGTTTTGTTCAGGTTGTTTCAAACACACAGCTTGCATGTGAATTTTAAGAATTCTAAGAAATCTGGAAGAAAACAAATTAAAAATCAACCCACTACCATGAAATGCCTATAATTTTAGCAATTTTTATTTTTCTTTTCCTAAAGAGAAAAAGAAAAAAGGTATGTTGGGAAGTTTTTCAATTAGTTTTTGAGAGCTGAGCCTCACTCTCCAGGGAGCTGGAACGACTGATGCAAGCTGCCAGCTCTCTCAGCTAGCTGTTGTGAATTCAGCATTCACTGGAATTGGGAACAGATAGTGATATCTCAGCCTGGTTTTATTTCAGGACTGTGGTTATATGTTCACTGCATAAACACTGGTGTCACCATCAGATATTCCTGCCCCTGGCGCTGCTTGTTGCAACCCCACAGCTCAGTTGGTGGAAAAGTTCATATGACTGCTGGCCATCTGCTTCAGCACAAAGTCAGCTGGTTTAGCTTTACGAGCCATTATTGCCAGCTACAGGCAAATGCTCCAAAGCCTCTTCCTCAGGGCTGTGCCAAAACTACTTGTATCAGAGTTGTGACCTGATTGCATTTATGCTTCCGACCTTCCCTTGAGACATGGCTGAAATATTCCCATTGTAACAGTGATGAAAACAAGGATAAAAACCTGCTTGTTCTTAGGAATCTAGCAAAAAAGCAAAATTCCAGTTCTAGGTTATCTGGCTGGAATGACAATGTATCATGCAATCCATTCATGCAACTCTGGACCTGCTGTTTGTTTTTTGTTTTTTTTTTTTTTTAAGGACATACAGACACCTGAACAGGTAAATACTATAACAAGAAATCCAAGCAGCTGCTATTACAGCTTCAATTGCCAGATCACCTTGTTCTCAAAAGATATTGCTTAACAGACCGTTGTATTAACATACTGTAAAAAAAAAAAAAAAAACAATTAAGAAAAAGTCACTCATGCATATTAAAGAGGTTCTGTCAAATATATCCAATAAAAAAAAAAATGAGTCAGGACTCAGTTGGTACTAGCACAAGCCTAAATCTGCAAAACTCTAACTGTTCCATATTTAATTATATATATATGAAAGTCAATATTAAAATTGACATGTGCTAGAAAAGAACAGCTGCTCAATCTTGCATATTCTAATGTAATTATTTTTGAAGCATTCAAAAAGCAAAGATCTAATCCAGGGTTGCCTGGCTAAAATACACATACTGGATTTGAAAATCAGCCAGTCTATGATACAATCATAGTAGCAGAACATGATTTTGCGATGCCAGGGTTGAAAAAGCATCTTCCCTAATATATATTTGCTTCTCTACTACCTCTGTTACACAGGTTGTCTGTAAATAAAACAGCCAGATGTGTCATGAGTTTTTCTTTCTTTATAATCCTCAGCAACGGAGCTGAGCAAAGGCAAACCATTTTTATCAGAACAAACTGACAGTGGAGAGTTAAGATCCTGAGGGGAAAAATCACATTTCATTCAGACACTTCTGGTAATCTATGTTTTACTTTATAGAGCCTAAAAGCGCTCTTAAATGCAAAACTGCCTAGAACTGTTTTCTGAAAAACTTCAAAATAACTTTTTGATGTTCTGCCATTTTCTCCCTATTTTCCCCTGAGAAAACCTGACAAATCCACTTTTCTAACAAATATTCCCATTTTTGTTAAATTTGTTTGCTATCAGGAAATTATTTTGTGTACAAGCTCCAACAAGCTCTACTCAGCATGGAAATGAGAAGTTAAGACTACAGCTTAAAATTTAATCCAGGTGAGAACCAAGTGGCTTCAGTGCTAGAAAAATGTTTTGACTACACACTTTCCACATTTATAACAGTAAGGTAAGAAGACAAATTTCTGAGCTTGTCAAAGTGTTGTTACTAAGAACATAGTGCACACTAACTTACCTTTGTTGGATTTTGGTTGTTCAGATGAGCCACTTCCAACCTTTCTCTTTTTCCTTGGAACAGATGAATTTTTCCTGTCAAAGGTAATAGGACTGTATTGAGGGAGGCTGTTGAATTTCTTTTCAAATTCTTCTTCCAACTTTGCTAAGCTAAAGGGGAAACAAAACCAATCAAATTAAATGTAACTGCAATTCTGGAGAAAAAGTATATTATGAATACGAAGTGCATACACACGTACACATGTACATATATTGAGAAGGAAAAGATGCACACATACTGTAAACAAACTATAACATATTAATCCAACTTTGAGATAAGTACATACAATCCAGCTTCTGTATTTGTAATTAAGTATAAATTAAGTTTTAATATATGCAAATAGTGTAAAAATAAAAATCAGTGTCATGCTGGTGACACTTAGCAGCATAGATTTGTAAATTAGATTTGTCTGTTCTGTAAGGGAAATGAAAAAAGCAAAACCAATAGATAAGCAATCTGGACAATTTCACATGAAGAAGTCACATCACACTGGAATGGAAATAACAATTCAAACTAGAGCAAAAATGTCACACTAACTTAAAAAGAAAGTGGCAAGTCATCCAATCTTTTGGGGAAATAAAAAAATAATTATAGAATGTTGTGCTTCAGGATTACAATTAGCCTTGTATTTCTTTTGGGGGATTATATTTCCTCACTTTTTATTTTATTTGTTGGGAGATGAGAAAATACAATTAGCAACCTACATTCCTCATAGGTCAGCCAGACCTGAATGACTGAAATATGCTTTATTTACAACACAAGAAATCCACAGATGTAATACTGTTTGCAATAGCCAGATGAAAACAAAACACTTGAACTGGTTGGTATGGCATGGCTGTAGTGACAGTGCTATGATGTGTAAGCCCTACTTGTCAACAAATACCTGCAACCAGGCAGGATCACCAGAAGCAAGAATGTTTTAATAAAAGGCAATTCGTACCGATAGGCAGATTATAAATAGAACTGCCCATGACAAGGGAATAGTATTCATTTTCTACTAAATCTTAAGTGCTATTTGCTGTGGAAAACTAAAACTCAATAGATCTTGGCATGACTGTGATTCTGTGACTGTTGGAAGAGATGGCCATCAGACTCTATACACTTGGAAGTGCCACAAGAAACATTAATTCTTTCTATTTTTCTTGAAACACGATGTAAATCCAATTGCATTCTGAAAATTTTGGTACACAAAATGATCCTTTGTTTGACCTCTACTCAGCTGTACACGGACAAAGCACACCTGGCATGCATCACCAGGGCAAATGTAGGCAGCTACCAATGGAGAAGAAGTTAAGAGGACACAGGAAAGTAAGGGGAGAAAGGAGCAATTCCAATGGCAGCAAATGGTGAGGACCCAGCAGACAGATGCCTTAATGCTTAAAGGTGATGATGAAGGGAGCAAAAAGGTTTAAGAACAGTGGGTACAAGTAAAAACAGCTCTTTGAGTAGACAGAAGATCAGGCAGAATAAGGAACAAGGACAACCAATACCTTCTTCAGGACTTTGGCTCCACAAATTCTGCCTTTACAGAGCTCACTGAACAATATTCATTAATGGCATGGTTAAATCAGGAAGCAACACCTGTAAATATTTTTTTTTTCCACCTAGCCAGATAACTATGGTAGAACAGTATCTGTCAAATAAATTGGTACACAGTTTTCATAACATCCTTGAATAAGTTATTTGAAACTACATTTTTTTTGGCTAGGAGATGCATTTCGTTTTCATACCATAAGGTGACTTAAAAGTTTCCCAATTTTTTATTTAAAATCTGGATAATTACAAAGTTTATATGCACTGCACTACAAATACAAGGTGTACCACTAGTTTTGCTCCAAACAAGAGAATGCTTGGAGACTTTCATCAATTTAATATCTTTGCTGCAGAGTAAGCTGCAGCTATATTTCTTATAGAACAGGCTATAAAAAGAGCATAAAAAAGGCTGGCACAAAAGAAATACATTATAGTTTTAAGCATGAAGCATGGAAAATCTACTCCTTTTTAAATTCATTTTCATCCTTTGAATTTAGATAATTGGAAGTCTTCAAGAATATGCAAGTTAGTATAAATGGCCAAACAGATTTAACAGCTATGCCTGCAGTTAAATAAGCCTGTTAGTACTCTTACAAAAATTATTATTCAAATAGTAGAAGATTAATTCTATGCAGCTGTACTAAATTTCAATGCATTTGAAATCATTAATTATTCTTCTGGTATACTTAATTCCTTTACTGTATATACACCTTGCCTCCATGGAGGCAAAATGGTGTATTTATCATAATTATTTGCAAGTATTAGAATGGTACTTAGTTTTCTTCTGTCAGCAATTTCAAGTGAGCAAAGAAATCTCTTTTTTTCTAGTCTAATTCTGTTTTCACTGCTTGAACGCCTACACTAATCTTCAAATATTGTTTGTAAAGTGCTTTGAAAATATCATTAACCCTCTTCATCTCTTGAGCAGGTAAATATTGTATTTTGTTGTTTTTTTTCTTAAGCAAGTGAGAAAATAATGTCATTCAAATTCGTTTACATTTGTGCAAACCAGGGAAGATCTCAGAGAAACTACTTTGGGGTTATCTAACCAGCAGGAATCTAGAGTATAACTCAACCAAATGGGGTTGGCAAATTTCAAAAATGCTTATCTAATTCTGATTATGTAGTTTAAAATGTTTGAGTGTTAGATATTCACTAACTGCTATGGGGAAGACTCGCTCATAAGGTACCAGGCTGAACTTGTTAAAACTTTGAACAGTGTTAAACTGCAACTTACCCAAAAACAAATTCTTCCTTTGGCTTAGGCCTTTTCAGTTTTTTGTTCCCGCTTGTCCCACTTTGGGAAAAAGCCCAGTTTTCTTCATTCCAGCATCCTTCATGATCTGAGGAGTTGCCTTTTCCTGAGCTTCTTTTTCCTGGGATTAAGGCAGAAAATTGTTTCTCATCTTAGAAAAATATGCTAAGGTGGGCTCACAAGGAACTTGCATATCCATTCATCAATGCAATTTATGATGTCTGACCTTTCTGAAGGAGTTGCAAAACAATCCTTTTTTCCCTGCCAGAACAAGATAATCAACTTGTTGGCAACTTCCCTCCTCCTCCCTCCCCCCCCTTTACATATATACTACCTTCAAAATCAGGATCCTCTGAGGTACGAAGGAAGACAAAGAAATGAGTAGATTTACAGTAACAAACTTACCTAAATTACAAGCATCTTTTTTCATTTCCACTTCAAATAATTACCCATTTAAATCTACTATTTGGAAAAATACATTTCAGTATATCTCATGAAAATTTCTGGAACCTTTCAGTCTCAAATGTATCCTTCCACAGGGCAAAGTTTTCCTGTTCACCACCTACAGCAAAACTAACAACCAAAGGGAAAGCACAACATTTCTGCCTTTTGTAGGATGGGTAACTGTGCTCAGAGCCACAGCTTCAAGAGATGTTTACATGGAAAGCAATTGTTCAGGGTTAAATGCAACACAGGTCCTACGGACTACTATCAGCAGGCTGATGAATCAACTGCACAAGTCTTCAGTCAAAAAGCTAAATCTCAGATCATGAAAGACAAAACCAAAGAGGCACAGATAAATAGGAATGCAGACTGCAGGACTCAAGATTTCCTGCCCTAAACCATGAAGCCCCCAGGCCCAGTATTTTAGGCGATCAGACACAGAAACCCCATCACACACTTCTTAATCACCAGTTTAAACATAAACCTTTGCTCTTCCTGCCACACCATGGCAGACTTTTGTGGTTCATGCTGTAAATGAAGCAGTTAAAACCACCCACCTCTGTCCACGTTAGCGCGCAGAGACGTAAGCATGCCCTCTGACACCAGAGTTTTATAAAGAGCACCTTTGCAAGATCTCTCTGATTTCCTGGAGCCACAGGTTTCTATTTTTTTAACACAGTCACTGTCCTCAGTTTTGACCTGTTCTGGTAAGCTCTGGGGCACCACCTCCTCTGTTGGGGTCAGTGGTTCCACTTTAATGCTATCAGAAGCCTCACAGGGTACTTCCTTGTTGGCTGTAATACTAAGGAAATCAGGAGGCTTCGATTCTTTGGTGGTCTCCATGGGTTTCTCCTTAGATGCCTTCTTCTCTTTAGATTTCACTTTTTTCTTTGGTGATTTTGTATCCAACATGCTTCCCTTCACATTTGAGGATGGGCGGGCTTTTTTGCGTGGAGTTTCTTCAAGTCTCTCAGCACCCCAATCTCCTTTTGCAACAGCTTCAATTGTATACATTACACTCTCAATGTCTGACTCAGAGGACTGCCTCTTTTTACAAGGCTTTTTAGGGGTGGATTTTTCATTTGTGTGCCGGTCCAACTTATTTTTCTTCTTCTTCTTCTTCAACTTTTCTGGCTTGCTTAGCCCAAGGATACTCATTTCAGCTAATGAAAGCTCTGGAGAACGGTACATGTAATCCTTTGTGTTATCATTTCTCTCAAAAGGATTGCTATCCTTTAGAAGACTAGTAAAATCACTGCATTTTACAGTTTCTAATTCCTCAGCTTTTGTCTCATCCCAGTTTTGCAGTGTCTCTGATTGTTCAATTTTTCTTCTACAGGAGTCTTTTATTGTTGTCTTCTCCAGTTCTTCCACTTCCATTTCTGGAATTTCCCTTGTCACATCTTCTGATACTTCCACTTTTATTTTCCCAGGTTCTTTCACTTTTACCCCTTCCGAAGCAAGGCACATCTAAAGTGAGTTAAAAATAGTTACTATGAAATAAACATCAACTGTTAACGTTACTTACCTGTATTAACAGGAGTGCTACACAGGAAATCTCTAGGATCCTAATTTATGAAAGCAAACTATGCTGAAGAACAATACTGAAAAAATGCTTAAGTTCTAATGAAGCAGATGAAATAAGACTAGTGGATTCTGTTGCTTTAAATGACAATAACAAAAAAATACCCTACAAAAAAATAAAATTCTAAATTGCGTTTCCATGATCCTTCAAGTGCTTTTTATGTATCCTGGAAAGATATTGCTAGACTGATTTTTCAGAATATCTCAAGTGCAATGGAACAATACAGTATCTGACTATCCCCACAGTCAAGCTACGTGGAATCTCAAATCCATACCCCTCACAGTTTCCAAATATCTCCACAAACAATTCTCTCCTCCACTTTCCAAATGGACTCCAAAAGTGAATAAAAAAATTGACTAAATCTCAGCAATCATTTTCCTTTATTTCAAAGTGCAAAATAATTTGGAAGATACTATAAAAGCCTTCCAAATCTCTATTCTAATGTCACAGCCCTATCCTGCAAAGAACTGCAAAGCAGTAGTAGTTGCCATGGTTATCCCCTCCTGAAGATAATGTTAATGGAAACCAAAACAGCTCATTCCGTCTGAAGAATAGTGATATTCAAAATAAGAGCTATAACAAAGTCTCTCAAACTGCTATGTTCCTTCAGCAATTACTTGGAAGATGCACTCAGTTTTGGATCATTTTTAAGTCATGCTGACACTGATACAGAGGATAGTACTTCACAGCGTCAAGCAGTGGTCCATGGGAAGGCAGGCTTTCTTCTTATACTCTCTTATGGCTTCCTAAACTGAATTCCAAGTTATATTTTGTTTCTAAAACAACTGTCAATTGAACAGCCACCTGGAATGAAATGAGATGGTAGAGACTTGCTTTGAACCAGACATCAGCATTGCCTCTATCCTGTAGCTCAGCCCACAGGCCATGTGGTCAGAATGGACATACTCTGCAATCACTGGCTTTTCCTCGGATCGATTTTAGATATCTCAAATTTTTGCAAAGTAAAAAGATCACTTACAGCAACATATAACAGCAATATTAGGACTCTGAAATAAGTTTCCAAAATTCCTTCTGTATCATACTGGGTAGAAATCCTTGATGTGGCACGTGTCAAACTAGGCTGACCATTAGAAACACTGAAGCTTTGGCAACTCAGAGCCTGTTCATAAACAGGTTGGATTATACTGAGAATCCCAGAACTTTGCTGAGCTAGGCTCTGGCACCAGTGTACCTCTGTGGCTTCAGTGCACTAGTCTGTGCAGTGAAGTCTGTCACCACAGTGAATCCAGTCTGTGATTTCCAGAAACCAAAGATCAATCTTACAAATGCAACTCATTGAACATTAATGATATTTAGTCAATTAAACACGCCCTCTCACCAATGGATTTTTTTCTTTTCTACCTTTGCTTCTCCTGCAGCAACCAATAGTACAGAAGGCTGTATATGTAGCTAAAAAAAGTGGTTTTTGTTTTGTAAGATATAAATAAACTCACAATTCAGTCTTTAAGATTAGAAACATCTACCAAAAAAAAAAAGAAAAAAGAAAAAAAAGCTTAGAAACAAAAGAAATACAGTATTCTTATAAGAAGGCATTAAAGGCATTGGTTTTAACTGGTCTTAGATGGAGAAGTTGTTAAGAGAATTATAACAGAGCTTCTAGAGAAGTTATTGACCTGCTCATTCTTCCAGTAGTATGTATGAAAGGCAAAAAATAACAAAAGTGACTAATGCCTTTTAACAGGTATTTGTAATGACAATATAATTTGAACAACAGACCAACCCAGCCCTTCCTTTGAACTCTATTCTGATCCCCTACCAACCAAACCAATCTAGTCAAAACCCGGATCCCTATAACAAGAGATTGAAGATTGGATTTACTATCAACTGCAACATAGACACTTAGAAGTCTCCAAACTGATTGCTAATCTGGAGTAATTTTAGCATTTTACACCAAAGCTGTAAAAACTTCTATAAGCTACAGTGTAATCATAACTGTGGCAATGTACTGCCTTCCAGACTTGGGCGATCAACATCATTAACTTCTCTGTCCCACTGCACCTGTAGTAATTAGTTGTCAGTACTTTAATACTACCTCTGCCAGTTGAAATAATGCTGATGTTCCACACTGCTTTGTTAAATCAGGACCTGAATGGGATGTACTTGAAGAAATCTAAAAAAAAAAAAAAAAAAAAAAAAAAAAAAAAAAAAAAAAAAAAAAAAAAAAAAAAAAAAGAGAAGAATAAAGAAAAACATTATTTCACTAGAATAATTCTTCTATGTTTATCACATATCATTTGAAAGGATTATTTCCTTCCTCTTGAGAAAATGCATTCATAAGATTACATAAGCATATTAAGAAGCATAGACGTGTGCGTGCTGTTACAAATAAAACCTCACTACTACTGCACCAGTAGAAAAGATCATGGACATTAAAAGCTAGTTCCAGATTCGGGGATCTTCTTGACAGAATTCTTTCTGGAGGATGAACTGAAGCACATACTTTCTCAGGAGTAAATAGACTCCAGAAGCTCTGTTAGGGCACTGCATCAACCTATACCAGCACATGATCCAGTTGATGCTTCTGAAAGCTTTGTTAGACATTGGTTTGCTAATTCCTTTCACTGTCACAGTTTAAGAAGCTTACTTCTGTCAGGACATGGCACTGCCTGGTAGTGTCCTTCAGGATTCATATAACAGATTTGCTAAGAAACAAAGTAATGTAAGAGATCTCCAGCCTTTGGTAACCTTTTATGATTACTCTTCAGCATATGGGAAACTGGCAAGCAGATATTCAGTTATTCTCAAAGAAACTTTTTTCTTCTATTAGATTGTGTTCTACTTCAGCATTTTAGTGTTTTGCATCAGTTTTGAGCTAGACACAAAGAAATAATTTTCTAAATTTATTAAAACATCAGTCTCAAAACGTTGGTATGAAGAAGAAAATGTTTACTGTTAAGGATATATCTTAAAATCTTTGATCAGGCTTTGATCAGGCTTGCAGGTTTCTTACAATTGCTTCCTTGGAAAGAACTTGAATTCTGTGAACTGAGGAACTAAAGCATTTGCTTTCATCACCTTCAGTTTGCCATTTCAGTACCTCTGAGTACATCAGCTCAGTTTTTATTGTTTCCAACCAACACAGGCTCTAAAACCTGCTTTGCAGAAATCACACTCATCACTGCCATACAGGAAATAACAAAAAGCATTAAGAATGCTATCTCTTTGCCTCCCAAATTCTGATGATTCCAGCACAAGTCTCTGATTGCTGCTTACAGCCAGGCATTGTTAGTGCTGCAAGCACCCTGCAGAACAGGAGAGGCCTCACTGTCTCCTGGAAGTAATGTGCACCCAGCCACTGCCATCCCCCTGCACTGAAGGCTGAAGACAAAGTGTGCATTCAGACACTGCATAAGGCCTAGCAGAGCTGATTAGTAGCAGCCTGTCAGGCTTCAGCCTGCAGCATGGCTGCCCCAACTGTTTTTAGAGCTTTGAAATTCTTAGAAATCTTTAGAAAAGTATTACATCTGCTTTTACATTTTATCACCATCTGTGAAATACAGAAAATGAAGGCACAGAGTGGGGAAAAAATAAGATAAAATTGGTGAATCCACATAAGAGAGATGTAGGAGAAGCAGAGCAGTGTGGCATGCTGAAGCTGACAGGCTCCCACGCTCAGGATCTCTGCCATGCAAGCAGCATACAGACAGAAGTCCAGCCCCCTCCAGTGCACAGCATCTGTGGTTTGGAGTTACAGCGGCACAGCACAAACATCTGCCAAATGAACCTGTAAACTTAAGATGCCCTGGAGATAATGTGAGCATAGTTTATGTGGGATACTCCAAACCAGGTCCTAAATTGCAATCTGAAAAGTTAAGCTGAATCGCACTTTATTTGTCCAATTACAATCCAGCATCATAGATATCTCCAAAAACCAACCAACAAACAAAAAATGAATAAAATCAACAGTTCTAATCTACTATAAGAACTAGAGATAAGGAAGATGTGCTTAGCATGCCTTTGTCATTTCAAATCAGAGCCTTTAACACTAATACTGAATAATTTACTTAGCCTTGTAGGAATCCATCTGCACAATAGTCGAGACAGAGACCGTGGAAACCTGGCCAACACGCTGAAGCCACACTGCTACACTCAAGCTTCACTTCTTCCACAAAATGCAGCACTAACCCTGCACTCCTGTGGACAGGCTTCTGCACTTCCCTGAACTTGGGTCTTCATAGTCACATCGCAACTCTGAATGGTGACTTCCAAAAGTCAGGCTGGACTCAACAGCTCTACTACAGAACAGTACTTTGTCTCATAACAAAGCACACCTCTGAAACTTTTAGAATCTCCAGTTTGGTGTTACAAGCCTTTTTCCTGTCCCAGGGCTGCAGCAGTCACTGATGGTAGCTAAGGGTAATGACCCTTGCATTGGCACTGCTGATAATGTTGCAGCACACATGAACAAACAGTATTCCTGCCAGAGATTTCCTCTAGGGTAAGGTAAATTTTCTTCTATTCATGTAAGTCCTCAAAGTTAATCTTCCTAGTAGCATTACCATCCTTGCAAGGCATGAAATACTCATCTATGCAGACTCAAAGCATGGTGGTTTTTTTTTTCAGTGCTTCCAATCTTTTTTTTCCTCTGAGAGGGATTAGCCTCAGCAGCAAGAACGTATGCATGGATATTGCTAGAAAAGATCCAAAGAACCACTTTTCTCATTGAAGCAGGAAATTATTTTGAAAACAACAACAAAAAGTAGATGAGTAAGGTGGTAGGAACCTCCCCTATTCACTTGGAAAGCAGCATATAATTTTCATTTGCAGCATATGATTTTAACACTTCTAGGCCAAGCCTAAAAAGTTTAATTAATCCATATCAAAGAGGAGACCTCCACAAGGTTACACTGAAAATTCTTAGAAATTTTCTAGGATCTTGGGAGACCTTGCTTTGTATTCTTGATTTCTACTGACAACTGTCAATTTCATAATTCAATATACTACTTCAACGTCCAAGCCTTCATACAAATTCCTGGAAGATCTCAAAGTTTACTTTTCTTCCCTTACTCTTCGGTTCCCAGTTCAGCAATACACCTTCCAGTCTCTAAAATAAAACTTCACATTTTGAATCCTCATTAAAAATAATACAATTGTCTTGTCTTTGCTATTGTCCTAGGGTTAGTTTTTATTACAGTTATAAGGTTAATATTCCTGAAAGGAGATACAATTTCCGTATGGTATCCAATAATTGATGCACATTTACAAGTGCATAAAGAACTAGGTTCCCCAGGCTCACTACAACTGCCTAACTCTCTTACTATTTGATAATTTACTGACTTTTGCCTCTGGAAATACTGAATTTAATGCTAGAGCAAGCCTTATACAACTCATATTCTGAGGGGAGAAAAACCACACATCTTCTCATTGTGCTGTTAATGGGTATAAATTTTACCTCTGCCAACTGGAAGAGTGCCGACTTCCCACAGTGCTTTACTGGCTCAGGACTTGACAGCTGGGAAGTATTTGATGAAATCTAGGTTTTAAATGAACAGAGGAGAAAATATTTCAGTGTTAATCAGGAAAGAAAGGAAGGAAGCGAGAAAAATAGTGAAGTAAGAATTAGTTAAATCTGTCACTTTTAGATCTTTCTGGCAAAAGGCTCTACTTCAAACTAGCAATCCCATTCAAAAAACACTTAACAAGCATTTAGAAGTTAGCAGAACACAAGCACCAACAATGTTCTGATCACACGGTGTGTTTTATGCCATTCCAAGCGAACAAAACATACTTAAAAAACATGAACTGTGGTGCTCAGTAAAATTCTACTGTAAAGCCCAGGCATTATTTTGTCAGATACAGAGGAAGATTATTTGTTTGCACAGGCACTGGATACTCGTTTCACCTCCTTTCTTGAGGAAAGAATGTCTTTACATTTGGAGATCAGCTTTCAATACAGATGTTGCAGTGCTAGCATCAGTGCTTGCTAAATAACTCTCACCGCATTTCAGAATTGCTTTTGCTGCCAAACTGTTCTAACCTGCTTCCAAGCACAGTATTATGAGTTTACCAACACAACAATTATCCATTATTTCTTGTATTTTATTTCGTCCGGCATGGCATTACATAGTAGTACTTGGGCTGGAAGTCCTGGAAAATCCTTAGATAAGGACGAGTGTTTCTTTGACATCTGCCTCATTATAAAAATATACATATATGACTGTGACCTTTTGGATGGAAAAATTATCAAAGTAGCCTCTTTGTATTTGAGTTTGTTGTTGTTATTAACTGGATTATTTGAATAGCTTTCCCATGGTCAAGGAGATTAATTATATGAAAAAGAAATAAGTTTTTTTTTTTTTTTACTGCCAGCTACCAAAGATATGTTGAATAATGTTTGACCATGCATTATTATTTTAGTATTAAACTGAAATAATTCAAAATCCTACTTCTCCCGTGGTGCTGCTCAGTGAATACACTCAAGATCCCAAGACTCCTTGTACTCTGCACCTCATGGGAAGAGAGCCTTACATTTTCCTCTTTCTACTGTAACACATGCTCAGTTCTTAATGGTTTCTTCAGCACAGTATGAATGGTAGAAAAGGAACACTCACACATTAAAGTGCAACCTGAGAATATACAGGCATATCTTGCCTTCTGATACACAATGTGAGAAAAGAGGAAAAAAATCAGTTTTGACAATAGGTTGGGCACTCTTAACAAAATGTGAGAACCTTGTAGTACCAATTAGAAGAGAGGGAGGCAAAATTCTTCTTCAGAAAAAAAAAAAAAAAAAAAAAAACCAACAAAAACCTTTGTCAGCAAGACAACAAGCAGAAAGAAAAGAAAGAAAGAAAGACCAACTTAGAACCTGTTCTGCCAAAGATCCTGGCCAAGTGACAGAAGATTGCAGCTGATCAATCAGCTCTCCAAGAGATTACATAGCTCATTCTGTGCCTAAACACTATCTTCCTTTTTTAATCAGAGTAATCAGTACCTGCAGTACCACAATCACAAATAGCTCCTTCTTATGCTGAGGCTTAACTTAGGGGCCATTAGGATCCAGTTACTTACTATACCTTGAACAATGCAGGTGATATTTTAGCGACTGTATTACATTGTAGTTTGCACAGGATGCACATGTCAGTTTTTCACTCATCTCTCTACCTCCCAGCCATTTCATTTCAATAAAGATATTTAATGATTGCAATTCATAGACAAACATCAAGTATATTTATTTTAAATAATGACTTTACCATGGAAAATTACAGCTTAACCTAAAAGCAGGTGGAAGAGAACAAACTGAACTAGATCTCACTGTCTCAGTTTCACAGCATTTTGATCAAAATTTTGGATTTAAGACTTCTTCAAGGCTTTAACGGAAAGGGTTGCCATCAAGTCTACTAAAAGTGTGTATGTGAGAACACAGCAAGGAAAAAGCCATCCTCAAGTGTACATTTTTTTCTTTAACAATGATAAACTGTTGGACTAGCAAGAAGAATTCTACTCTGCTGAATGCTGGATATGATTGTATGTATTTCAGTTAAATAACCTAGAGGAAAGCTTCTGAAGAGCAGCTGTAAGTGAAGAGTTTGGGTTTTTTAGCTTCATTTCGTTTAAGATGGTTAAACCACGAGTTTTACTGCTGTTACTCTCTGGAAGCTTTATCTATGTTTAATAAATGATAAAACTTTATGTAAGTAAGCCTAAGAGGTACTAGTGTCTCTTTTCTGCAGAGCAGTCATCACCATCTGTTTGCATATGCCAAACACACATCCATGTAAGACCAAAAGAGCAAGGGGCCCCATCTGCTCTGCTTCCCTCACACGGCAAGGAGAACAACAGCAAGCAGCCCATGTGAGCAGGCAGCTTGCAAACAACCGTCATGCAAAGTAGCACAACCCACTGCTGAGAAATAACTGGCCTATATACTGGCTTTCCACAAAAGTAGCAGTGAGAAGAAAAAAAAAGAAGGACCAAGTATTTGCAAGATCAGAGGAGAGAGAAAAAGCCAAGAACGTAACTTGGCTACACACCAAAATTAAAAACAAACAAACAAACAACTTATGAGGACATAGTGTTATCTTGGAAGACCACTGCAATTGCTGCCTGCACACCCACAGGATCCAGCAAAGTATCACTCCCATGATTCTGATCAGCTGTTGCAGCAAGTCAACATAGGGCAGACCTCATTAATCATATCCTTATCAGCTTTAATTGAAGACTACAACACACGTGGGACAGAAAGCCAGGCTGACTGAGGCTCTAAAGAAAGAATCCTATACTACATCAGCATATAATGAGCCATTATATGCTGCTGAGTGACAGCAGACCTGGACACCTCTACTCAAGGAGTACACTGAAGATGACAGATCTACTCAATGGGACCACCATCTTCACAAAGAAACATTCTCACTCACCCTTCTGCAAAGGCAAAGGCAAAGAAAGGAAACATGAAGAATGCCCAGTCAGAACCAAAAATGAGTTGGGATGGCTGCCAGAAGTCTCCAGGCATATCAGACCACAGCACAATTCACATTTCTTCACAGGTCTACTTGGCCACTGGCTATATAACTACTTTCTCTCCCTCTCTCTCTCTTTTTCTTTTGTAGCACTGTACACTGCTGACAGCAATCTACTGCAAATTGCTTACCATAATTTAGTTTACTAAATGCAGTAATGTATTCATATTGACAAGACCCAGTAAGAAGTGGCTCAAAAAGGAATGGGATTTTTGCCAGAGTTGACAAAGACACCCTGTGCAAATGTAAGCCTTTATAACTGAAGGACCACAAGCAGCTTTAATAGCAAGAATAATTACCAAAAAAAAAAAAAAAAAAAAAAAAAAAAAAGCAGCTTAAAGAGGTTCTTTAGCATGCATGCATAGCATTTTCCCCTGGAACAAAGCAAATGAAAATCAAGTGGCAATCTTAAAATCATTTCTCTATTACTTTAGATAAAACACAAAGTTAGTCACTGCCATTGAGGTTTTATAACAACAGTGTAATGTATGAGGAATAACCTTGAAAAAAAGTTTATTTTGGGATGATAGGTAGTTCTAGACACTGAAATAATAGCCAAGAAAATACAGCTTCCCCCAGACTGCAGTAACATTTCAGGATTTTTAACAGGAAAAAAGATTAGCCCGGACTTTAAAATTGTCCTCTCCAAGATCTAACTAATTTTTTAGGCACCTCTTTTTCCCCAATATTTGATGATTCATACATGCACTCCAGTGTGACAAACGAGCTGCCTTGGCATAGTGGTATGAGATTCAATACACTTCCACATTCTTAAGACAGTTTTCAGGTTTGATGTTCTGTTGTTTAATCATTTAGGAGAGAACTGATTTTAGATTCTGTGAAGCTTTGAAGGTGCTGTGAGTCAGGTTTCATGAAATGTTTGAAAATGCTGCATTCATGGGACTTTGAGCAACCTGGTCTAGAGGGAGGTGATCCTGCTTATAGTAGGGGGTTGGAACTAGATGATCTTAAAAGTCTCTAGAGTCATTCTGTGATTCTATACTGGAGGGATATCACATTCTGCTCAACTTCACATATAACTAAACTTGCTGAATACATACTGAAATGTATGATGGCCAAGATTTTTGAAACTAACTTAGCAAATTTACTTGTGCAAGTCTTGTCAAAAAAATTCACAAGAATGTTCTATAGTTTAGATCTTTTACTTTCTTGGCTTCAGCACATGGCTTCACCTGCTAAATTCCACTTACTTTCCTTGGGAGAACTTTCCAATTTAATCTGCAACTTAAAAAAAAAAAAAAAGCAGCACATACAGAAGCTTTTTTACAATTACAGACACTACTGTATATTTTATAGGGTTGTTTCTATTCAGTTATTTCATGGCACCTGAATCACAATTTTTTTTTTTTTTTTTTTTTTTTTGTAATTAGAATTTTTAAGGAATAAATCAAGGCCTAATAAATCGTTCTAGCCAAGCTAAAAATACAATGTATATAATTAGATTAACATCTAATAGAAAGAAGACTGTTGTCTGTAGTCAAGCCTCTGTAACCCCACAACATCATATCAACAGGGCAGGGCATCTTTTCATCCCATAATGATCTTCCAGAATAGTACTCGTTCCAATAGTAGTTTCTTTACACACACTCTGAGTATGCCTTTCGCTTAAGAGATTCTGTGAGCAGTATCAGACTCCCCCAAATGGAGAAAAAGAGAATGTGTGAGAAATCAGTTTATAGAGGAACATTAAACACATCGGTGAAGAAACTTCTAAAAGCCACCTATAAGAATTCTAAATTTTCAACACATGAAGGAAGGAGGATAACTTACATACTGAAAGGAGACTTAGGGGTCACCACCTAACAACGCTGCTACATACTTGCAGCTGTTGTAAGCTGACTTTGACCTACAAGTTTATTTTTTAGAGGATTCCTATGTCTAGGGCAGCTACCGTTTTCCACTACTGCAACCTCTTCCATAAGCAGTGCATGGTGTCACTTCAGAAGGTCTTATTTTTTCAATATCTCTAAGCTGCTTAACCTTCAGTGACAACTCTTATTGGCTCCTTGCCTCGTCAGAGCCTCCCCTGCCATGTTTTAGCTATCATACCTCAGCAAACTGAAATAATGCAGACTCCTCCGTTTGTTTTACAGCTCCTGGAACTCCTGGCTGTGATGTGCTTGAAGAGATCTGTGAGGAAAATAATTTTTAAACTATTTAGCTCTTCAGTTTCATTATCAAACTTCAACATACAAATTTCAACACGCAAACAGTATCTGCTTTCCCAGGAGACATGTAAATGGTGATCCTGAATCGTTTTTAACAATGGAAATCTTTCCTAGAGTCAACTAAACAGACTAGAACCTTTCTGAGGGGCTTATTTTTGCCCACTGATATGTTAAAAGAGAGTTAATAACAGGAACTTGACACTGTATTATATTTCACTATTCAGTTAAAGACCCAACCACAGAATGCTGGTGCTGATAGAGCACAAATTGCTACTTTGTGTGGAAGATAAGTGAGGGCAGAGGCACAACACATATGCATACTTTTAGAAGAGATAACAGATCTATTCCGATGATTAAGGAAGCTGCATTTTTTAAAAAAATATTTATTTTTACCTTTTTTTAACTTGTGTCACTTCTTTTTGTTGCAAACAGCAATTTTAATTAATCGTACATCTAAGTACAAGTAATATTTATTTTGCTGCTGATACACATACCTATTACATACCAAATATGTGCAGCCTCACTAAAAACAGCTTAACATCCATGAAAAATCAACTAGCTAATATGCATTTCTGAATATCAGTTACTGAATATCAGTGAACTACTTCTGAACTGCAAGCTTCAGCAGTGCAGGTGAGCTTATTTCCTCGTATTCACCGAAATTCTTTGATGGGTAAGGCAAAGTCAGAGTTCACAAGCCCTTAGCAAGAGCATATCTTGCAACACACAGCACAGTTCCTCTGTACAGTCACATGATTCTGGCACTTTTTTGTTTAAGCACTGTAAAATGAACTCAATAAGTGAACTCGTATTTGTCTTATTGGTTGGAAGACTTTACAGCAACACTGAAGAAACAGACCGTTATCAAAACGAACCACACAAAATACCATGTTGCTCAACTGACAGGACAAGTAAACAGAAGTATTTCACTGGAAGACAGATTTTGAATTATTATCATAATTAACACTGGAATTTATCAATTTTAAGGAGCTTCTAAAAATTGTTTTTAATTGATGGCAAATCAGGCATTCCCCTCATGCTAACAAGAAAAGCCAGTAAGTTGTTTATGAGCCTCGTTGCAGATTTTATATTGCACACTAGCCTTTAATCAGAAATAAAGGTTCAGTGCATTAATCTACCTCTACTTCATTTTGAAAGTCTCAGCTTTTAAATTAGAGTTCAAGGTCTTGTGAGCTAGCTAATGTTAAAACTAAAATCACTTCACGTATGCAAGAATTGGCATCTCTGCTCTATAAGTGACGACATCTAGGGAGAAATATGAAAGTATATGCAGAAATGAATAATATAGACAAGGCAGTGAGATTTGTGGCAGGTGTGAAACCAGATAACAAAATGAAGCCCCTCCTGTGACAATTTTTTTTCCCCCAAATACTGTCTAGTACCCTGTCTAATCAATATTTCTTTAGCTAAATATTTATGTCACTGGATTATGACCATTTCAGAAGCTGAAAAGATGTAAGCAAGCAAGTGATGCTTACAGAGGGCCAGGATTCTTTGCAACCCTGTGTTATTTATGTCAGTTAAATCCATTAAAATTTGAATGAAGTAGGGTATATTTAAAAACAAAAAACTCACCTCAGTAGCACTGTGTAGCAGTTCCTAGAAATACATTAATAGCAATGTTGTAGAAGTGCATAGAGCTGTTTTGTGGTTATAGAAGAAAATTTTGGAAATTCCAGAACTACAATTACTTTTGATAGAGCTGGTGATTAAAGCAGCCATAAAGAACCATAGAATGGTTTCTATGGGACCTTAAGGAACCTCAAAGATCATCAGGTTCCAACCTCCCTGCCACAGGCAGAGTTGCTAATCGCTAGATCAAGTACCAGATCAGGCTGCTCAAGGTCCAATCTGACCTGGCTAGATGACATAATATAACATCCAAACATAGGTATCAACTTGAATTGACACAAGTGCAGGAATGAGATCTCCAAATCACTGCTTAAACCACAGCTCCATTATCACACTAGGGTTTCAGTTGTGTTCCTGAACACATCTGCACTTCAAATCAGACGCATCTACCTGACACATGGTCCAATAACTGTAACCCCCAAAAGAGAGAAGAAATGCTACCATGAAATTCAGTCAGTATTTTTCATTTCTCTTTCAACTGAACACCAGATATCTCTTGAAAGAAAACACTGGGAAAAAAACAATCCCTTTTTAAAGAAACTCACCTCTGCAAACTGAAACAATGACGACTTCTGACACACTTCCGTAGAATCAGTCGCATCAGATTGGCAAGTATTTGAGGAAACCTGAAACAAGGAGTGTGGAGATTAAGACCTCATTGGTGTTTCTCTCAAGCTAAGAACAACTGGCAAAATGAAATGGCAGGCAGTAGTAACATGAAGAGCTGCTTAAGAAAAGACGGACAACGTCATGTTTCGCATTCCTGGACCAGCTAAATCAAATTAAAAGGTGAAAACATTTCAGTACCTATATTAAAGTGTTTGACAATCACATAAGAAATAACACAAAAATACCAGGGACTGGGTTTTTGGTTTTGTTCTTTTACTTCCTGTTGCTCCAAATTCTGCAAGAGTTATATGCAACAAAACACTGATTGTTTTGGGCTGTATACACAGCTATCTTGTATTCAGGATGCAATCCATGCCACTATCTCTTCAATTTACACTCCCACTAATTACTTAGGAGCTAAAAAAAGTTTTTCAAACCACTGAGTGTTGCTAAGTGACAGAAATAATTGCTAATCACTTCACAGCATGAAATAAGTAGTTAAGGACACCACAAGCCTAGAACTGCTTAAATAACTTACATAAATGGATATTTGTTTAGAGGTGCTTTTGAGGAGTGGTGCAAGAAAGTATTGTAATTTCCAATATCAAAATTCAGAAAAGAGACTGCTCCAAAAAAAAAAAACAAAAAAAAAACAACAAAAAAAACCCACAACACAACAGCCGTATTAGAATTCACACAGACCTTATCCATAGTACTGAAAATTATTATTCTAGCATCCTTCAGTAAAATAATTGTCTTGAATATCAAGTGATGCATTTGAGTATAAAAGACTTACAATATACAATTCCCAGAAGTTAATATACTGCTAATATAAAATAGAGTATGTAGCACAAGTTACAGGAAACAGCAGAAAGGAGGGAGGCTTTGTGGGATTTTTGGAAAATCGAGTAACAGGATGGAATTTGTTTCCCCCAGTGATTTTTAATCTTTCATGAAATTCCAATTTATTTGAAATATTTCAAGAAGAACGTGGTTTTTATCTTTATTATCAGAGCAGGTATGTCAGTAGTATGTATTGGTGAATACCCAATTCAGCTAGCAAGTGAATCTGTTGCTGCAGGAACCAAGCTCCACAGGGTAACCAGGCCTACAGCTTGTACTGCTGCTCATGCTGCTGTCTGCTCCAGATGCCTGAGCATGACAGCAGCAGCAGAACATTTTGCTTCAGGAATCTGTCAGCAGTACTACTCCCAGAACACTGGATCCAAACGCAGGAGAATGATGCCACATGACAATTTGCTGAGGTACGCAGCTGAACTTGTTTTTTTCCCCTGCCGCAAAACCACATAGCAACAATGCACCCATTCTATTTACTGAATGTGGCCCCAAGCCTGCTGGAATTCAATAAGTATTTAGACAACGCTCTCAGACACAAGGTTTGAATGTTGGGTGGTCCTGTGTGGAGCCAGGGGTTGGACTCAGCGATCCCTGTTAGCCCCTTTCTACTCAGGACATTCTGAGATTCTACCCCAGGAGCACAGTCTGAGGCCACATGCTGGGGACAGGCACAATTCCTTCATGTCACAAGATGGGAACAGTGTGCTGCGGAATGAGCGAGGCCTCATTTCCTACTTTTTTGTGCTTAAAGGATAGATTTTTTGGTGCCTTGTCAGTCAGCAGTACTAAGATGATTTTGTGGTTAGAACAATCATGTTTTTACTATTAATTTCTGATATCTTAAGACAGTGCTGCTGTCTTCATTTAACAGCAGCATTAAGTTGAGGATGTCATTTTTACCCAGCTGTTGCCCCCACACTCTTGGGGGAAATTGATCATCTCCAGGACTTCTGGAGATGCACATACCTACTGCCAGATCAAATTTAACTCAAGTATTACAATAATTACTGGAGGGAACAGCTGTACAAGTAGTGCCATTGTACAGATTTTCTTTCCTGCAGTAATAAAACGTCCTCAGTCTTTCATCTTTTCTTCTTCTCTTTCCTCCTACTGCTCATCCTCCACTGCACTGAAGACATCTGTTTCTAATTTACAGCCTGGGCAATGGCACTCTGTGAAGACCTGGTGCAGAGCAGCACCACACACTGCACAACTGTCTTTCAGTAGCAAGGAGGAAGCCATAAAGATGCTGCCACCATAAGCCCACAGTCCCCAGTGGTTACCAAAGCCTGCTCTAAAATGAGTGAAAACAGATCGTCTTCCTCACTGACTGATGCAAGGCTTTAATGTGGTCCTGATATGCAGCAGCAAGGGGAAACTGCTATGAGTCAGGTCTCGGACAGTGCTAAACATTCAGCATTTTCTGGGAAGTAACCATAGAGGCCACTAGGTGCTGCTGTAAGGCAAGCAACGGACGTCATGGGCAGGGAAGGGAGGCGAGCGTTAAGGCAAGGAGCAGTCCTCGCAGAGTTTCAGGTTTTCTGCAAATAAAACAGCTGCAATAAAGTAACAGGATGAGGCTTTCTCTCCTGTAATGAGAGTAATAAGAACAAGCCTGTTAAGCATTTTTATTCCAGTGTTAAGCAAAATGTGCTTGTATATGCATCACAGTTTTGCTTAACTGGTAAAAGGCCCAAATGCCAGGCGAAAATTACTTGTGCCCGTCCTGTATTTGCTGCTGCTAAGGTTTTTAACTTCCCTTGCCTATCATTTAATAATAGCTCTAAGCCTCTGTTGGAAATCCATCACATTACAATGAATTCTGTCATTAGATGAAAAACCTTCTTGTCTCTTGAAAAAAAATGATGGACATAGGAACATAACCAGCATATAAAGATGATAACTAAATCATCAAAGCATTTTTGTAAGCATCACTACTGTGCCTCTTTCACCTTTTTTTGTTAGTGTATGCTCATTTTATTACCTGGTATCTGGAGTGCTGACAACTCTAACTTTAAACAACTGATTTGAAAAGCCCCTTTACATCCATTTAACACATGCTTCAGAAAAAAATATATATATCAGTGGGTGTTGAATCAATTTACTTGGAATTAGAAGAGTTATTACCTAAGTATTCTTTTCCTCATCTTTTCTGAAGTCCTGAACAAACTGTGTGGCAGTGCTCCTCTCCTTTATATCAACAACTTTTAAGATGTTAATAGTATCTTAAAACATGCTTACAAGGCCACCCAAGCCTACAATACATACACAGGCAGTCAAACTAAATAGTCTCAACTATGGCAATTCCCCAATTGAAGAATCCTATATACACTTTTTTTTTTAAAACGGACACGCACATTTTAATAGAAATGAAGACAACATGATTTCATTTAGAATGTTCTTTTAAAAAATGACTTTTTTTTTCCTTTTTCAATGCAAGTGTCGGAGTTTTAGATATTGCATATGCTTATTGTCTTATATAAAAACAGCATCTATATTTTCCACACAGTTAAGCAACAGCTGAACCTTTTTACTGGGGGATACTTCAACAGTTACCTCAGGACAAAGAATTCTCTCTCCCTCATGTCAACAAAATCCAGCTGAAGTCTCCCCATTCAAGAGGGAAGAATCTTACCACTTCTACAATGAATTCTTGAGCTTTTCTTTTTTAGCTAGTCATGCCGCCTCCCAGCTTATTCTGCCAACCTCCTAAATACTGTTTAAGTGTGAAACTATTCAAGCATAAACATGGAAATACAGTTGTAGGCTGTCAAGGTGTGCAGAGGTGAACATCTCATGAATCCTCTTTTCTCTATCCCACAGATGACAAGCCAGAAGTGCTGTTCAGTTAACCAAGTCTAAGCATTTTGGGGAATTTTACTGCATTTGGGATAACACAAGCCTACAAAGTATTTGCTCCATATCTAGCCATCACAGACAGACTGAATCAAAAGGTAATAAACGAAAATAACTACCTATTTTACACAATATATCAGGTACTTTATGAACAGTTTTCAAAACCGTCCCATAAAGGAAGTCATGAATAACAATCAGTGTAAAGAAAGACCAGAGCTCTCTGCCCTCCTGGAGATATGCAGGAAACACTTATTTACTGCAGTCTTCTATAAAATGTTTGCAATGGCAAATAAACTGCTAACTTCCCTTTAGACACAAAGAGTCAATAGGAATAGACTGCAATACTTTGATTACTTGTTAGCACTTGCATGGTTTCAGAATGCATATATAATGACTATATGGAAATGACTAAATATTTATTCTGCTATTTGTGCCAAGCTGTGTTCTTGTATTATGCAAGAACATAAGCACATGAGTTCCTTGACCAAAAGAGCTTGCAAATCATTTGTCTGTTTACAGTCACTTTCTCTCTCATCTTTTCCATCTGTGATAAGATTCTCTCATTGGGCAGTCTTGCCTGGTTGGATCATGTATTCATCAGTCCATGGAGTGAGTACCAAACTGGTATCAAACCTAGGACTGATTGGAGAACAAGACCTACATCAGTGGACTCACATTTCAGTTCCACCTGAGGTTACCCATGAAGTATCTTAAGTTCTGCCTCCCACTTGATGAATATTTCCCTTTAGAGCTGTTTTTAAACTGAGGACTTCTGGTAAGGTAAAGAAGAGAGATTCTTACCTCTTGTGCAGTCAGGGCATGTTCCCCAGCTAAAAGCAGCATACTCAGGCCTCCCATTTGTGTAGGATCTGTTAAAGAATAAAACCAAGTCTTACACGTTTATTCATTTGCTTGTTTAAAGAACCATTTGCAGTGCTAAACCCCCAGAAGACTACTTGTCACAGACACTCTAAGCAAGCTGCCATAAAAGGCAGTTCAAGAGAATCACAAATAACCATTTCTGTACCCTCTGGGAAAGGCTTTCAAAGCTGTTTGAAGGATTTAATTGGATTTGTGTGCTTAACACCCCATTGCGTGGATTTACAAATTTTACCGCCAAAGGTTTTATGCACTACAGAGATGAATATCTTTAAAACAGCAAGTGTAATGATCTCATACACAAATACACACAAAGAAACTCTAATATCACACTTGTTTATAACTCAATGGATGCCCCTACCAAGGGAATGGCTCCCTACCTTAGATAGTGAAGAAGCAAAGGGATAGAACTGAATGACATGATAAAGCTCTGAAGCAAAATTCCAATTTTCTTTTTACTTTAATTTAGAACTGCGTTTAGTGGTGAAAAGTGTCAGCCTGACGACTTCGAAGCATGAAGCACTCTCAATCCTCTGTGCCAGTACAGCACTGGCACTGGCCAGGCAGGCTGCCTGCCTACTTGTTGCCCAACCAATACAACATTTAACTGAGGAAAATAGAATGAAGATAAATGTTATTTCTCCAAGTATTTGGTTCTGACAGTTTCTAGCCTCCAGCCTCCCTGTACCTCACAAGTTCTGAAAAAAAACAGGAACAAAAAGTGAAAACACTGGTACAACACTACTCATGGAGTAGCTTTTCCACTCCAAACAGTGTTTGCTCTTCATCATTATGAAGACTAATTGTCTGATTTTGGGAAAGTGCCTTGGAAGCAATTCAGGGTCACAATTTAACAAAGAGCCATACAGAGGGAAGGACAAAGTCCACGGTCCAAATGGCTCATACAGCAGCTACAGTGTGAGAGAAAGAAAAATCATTATCCTTGCTGTATTTCTGCAAACATCGGTACCAAATGATACTCAGGTCTCCCTGAAGCATGTAATCACGTCTTCCAATTTCCTTTAACTAGCCTATACAAAAACCTCACTCTACAACAATAAATTGTATATGCCCAGGACCATTCTCTGGAACGAAGGCCAACTGGCACAGCTCCCCTCTTCTGTGTGTTTGAAAATTGTTAGCCTCTAACAGAATGTTTGCATCCAAAACATCCATGGGGAAGATGATTCCTGTGGCCCATTCCAACTTGTTAACCATGCCTATGTGTTTTTTGGAAAGTCAACTGACATGGGCCAAAACTGTGTCACAAACCTCCTACTGGTTTATCACTGCAGATGGTCAAGTTCCAGTTCAGAAGTACACTTGCTGGTACTGTTAATTCAATATTATAGGCGTTGCCAAAGCTTTTCCCTAAGACAGCATCTCACACTGACAATCACAGGATAAGATTCGTTAATGATGCTCTCTTAAAACAGCAGTAAACCAGTGCAGAGAAAAGCCACATGAATAAACCAAGTTCATCTACAATCTCAAGAATAGAAGAGTGGTCATTATCTTAAGAATACAGTCTGAATAGTATCTAGCTTTAACAATTGGAAATAATTTTTTCTTTTTCTGTAATGAACAAGTAGAAGTAATGTGTGTTTGTTTTGTAGCATCTTACTTTAAAATAATCTTTAAAAAGCACAAATGATATTAAGACTCTGCAAAGAGATAAGGCACTATAAGATGGATAGAACTAGTACTAAGTAGCTGAACAAATGGAGACAAAAAATAGGAAGAGTCGGCAAATACTCAACCACAATTGATCCTTCAATATAGAACCATTTACCATGAATTTACTTGATCAAGTAAAGTTCTGTGCTTCAAACAAGAGGGAATCAGAACAATTCAAAACTGAACACACATCTTGAAAGACAATGACTCGACAGACAGGTAGTTTGGAAAGAAAGCCTGAAAGAAATCTCCAGATTTCCATACGATCTTACTGATCTCCATATTTCACATTTAGGGGCTGGCTAGTTGCTTTCTACTTTGTTTATTCCCATTGAAAAGACAGTGTAGAAGTCAAATCTTAAGCATTTAGAGCTATCTTCCAGTTTTCAGCTTAAATCCATTCAGAGGAAAGCAAAGATACACTTCTTTTTTTCTGTTGCTCACACCTTCAAGCTGAGATCACTGTTTTCTTTAAATGGTGTTTTCCCCTGTTGTATTTACAGGAGTGACCCCTGTTCATCCTCTACTAGCTTTACTAGCCTAAAGAAATCAAGATCGTTTGATGACATCAAACGTTCATCTTCCACAGTCCCTGTGATTCCTGCAGCTCTCCCCTTCAGTTACTCCAGATGGAGTCAGACCTTCTTGTGCATGTATGATCGGCAGAGCAACCATGTCAGATGAGCTCTAACCTGTGGTCTGTTCAACAGCATTAGTTTTTCTCTACTGTTCCTGAAAATGCTTTGCCTGACACACTGCAGTACAGCATTGCCTTATGCCCACATCACACTGACCATCCATAGCCACTCACTTGAGTTTCTTCCTAGTTGCCTTAGGTCTTCCTCCTCAGTTTTTACCAACTGAAGAACTAGTGTACAGCTCTAAAATTCTTCCCCTACTTCTTAAATATCTTCTTTGCTGAGTATGTGGTCTCAGATTTCTACTATTCGAATAAGTAGTCTAACAACAGGACAAGGATAGATCTTTTTTTCCCCCACTTCCTTCAAGTAAGCAAATACTTAAAGTGTTTATTTAAAACTAAAAATTATGAGGAAAAAAAAATGACAGCTTAGCAAAAAGTGAACATTTAATTTTGTGCTCAAGCAACTTGAATATTTATGCTGCAGCTGGAGCAAAGGGCTAGTGTTTAACTGTCTGATCTTGATAAAGACAAAAATCCTTCCACTAAGGTTTTAAATTACAAAATAACTTCACATAAAGGAAGACAAAAATGTATACACACAAACAGTGCCATGTGCTTATAGTGCCTTCTCAGCACAATGTTTCTCTTATGGCACTAAGAACCTACTAGCATGAAAGAGGAAGAATTCTAAGTGCTACTTTAAAGTACTTTACAGTTAAATCAACAGTTACGAGAAAATAGCATACACATCTGACTTGGAGAATAGGAAGTGATTTGTGGCTTCCTCAACAGCTTTCAGCAGTGATTAAGCTTACACCATCTCACTGTATGGAAATTATATGTTTTCTTTGTATTAGTCTGGTTAGAAACTTAGAAGGCTGGCTTGTTCAACATCACAATTTTTCAATCTGAGAAAAAGAAAGAACTGAGAAAGAGCTAAGTGCAAAGATCATCAAGTAAGAGTTTCAATTAACTTTCACCTGAGTTCAGAATTAAGCTTCTTTCTAAAGAATAAAATTTGCATCTCTATCATGACATGGGCTATTCTAGGGAGTGTCTTCTTCTGAGACAGAAATGTAAAAGCATTGGAAATTCTCCACTTTCCGCCAGGAAAGATGTTGCCCACTTTAGCTCTGTAGTTGTGAGACTAGGTGCTGAAATGGACACCTTCACTTGAGAACAACAGCTGTCTTTGCCTTACACCCTCAAACAGAACACAAGAGAGGCATGCCATGACAAAAGCATGCTCCAATGCAACTCACAGGCTGGACAAGCAAGGACACCACTAGTGATGCTACAGATCAGAAGTCCAGTGATGCTGTTACATCGCAGGTAAGAGGAGAGACGGCCAGCAGGGGGACATATTTCATTTAATTTTGGAAAACATAACAAGCAAAAATAAATCAAAAAAGGATTTACAGTTACAAACAAGTAAAGCAGGTTTCCTGGAATGACTGTGGATTATCATATAATCCTTGTCCTAATGAAAGTATCTGCCTTGAAGACACAAAACAGTCAAGTCAGCAGCATTTCAGAAACAAAGGTATTTCTATGGTCATTCAGCTACATTTTAGTTAATCAGCCAGTACACAGCCTGGATTTTAAAAGAGGATGTCCTAGACTCAGCAGTCAGATTTGAACTAAGCTATCAAATGAACTTGAGGAAAGAACACAAAACATAGTTACTATGACACTCATAATCCATCTGGCGTGACAGACCTGTTGTGATTTAGATGCTGCTACATCTCTGTCAGAAACAGTCATTAATTCATGGACTACTGCTATTCTCATGAAATAGCCAGACTTCATTGGCATGGGGACTGGAGCAAGACCCCTGTGAATCACTATACTCACTTACTCAGTTTGAAGTGAAGGAATTTAAAAAAAAAAAAAAATCACATTAAAACAAAATAGGGCCTTCTTCAGAACTGAATGTCTCCATAGATTAAATGGATTACTTTCTAATTAATTCTTAAGTTCTCTGTCAGATGTTGATTAAAGATCTCTCCTATCAGGTGAGGGACTGCAGCTGGACAGACCAAGAGCTACTGCTTGTTCTTCCAGTTAAGACAATGAACCTGTAATGAGAATAAATCATGCTCCTCTGCTAGCCAAAGCAGAATGGGATGAGGAGGCTTGCAGGTTTCAGAACTGATTTCTCACATGTAACTATGTGCCATGAAAAAGTATTCTGAATTACATTTCACAGATTTGTTGTAGCCAGGAGGAATTTCATTACAGGAAATTTCATACCACTAAACTGGCAAAAAAAGTATAAAAGCCTTTTTATCGCTTTTTTTCCCTACTTGTTCCACAAAATCATTTTCCCTTTTCTAGCACATGATGTCACTAAGCAGAAAAATCCTGTCACACAATCATCATAAACTAGGTAGGATACAGAAAAGTCTGTAGTGGATCGACATTTATAAAATGAGAAACTTTAAAGAGGAAAGGTGTGTGTGTGAGGGAATAATTTTTCACTCAGTTCTTAAGCTGCCAATAGTTAAGAACATTAATATATCTATATTTAAAGGTCACGACTGCAACAGTTTCTGCTAGTTGTGGATATAAGTAAAAGATTATCTGTTCTTCACCAGTACAAGCTCTCCAACTGTACTGACTTTTGGTTATACTTTTTTATTTTTTAAGTAAAATGAAATCATACTTTTCTTGTTTTAAATACAGACAACTTAGTTCCTCAGGAACAAGCCATCCACAAGAAGCAGAAAAAGAAAATCTCTAGTTTTAACAGCAGACAATCCTGAGCTAAAGAATTAATCACATCTGGACTCCAAATGACTACACCTTAAAAGATGTCATATATATCTGGACTTGACTCTAAAAACAAACAAACAAACATAAGCTATAGAAAACGGTACAAAGTTGTTGTGCAGAAGTTTAAATACAGTCTTAGCAACCTAATTTGGGGACATGAAACATATTTGTAGCTCTTGCAGTTCAATCTCAATGTCAAGTCCTCAAACAAAATAAGGATGTTCACCTATGAGAAACCTCCCAAGACAGAAGTCTCACCTGCCATCCCAAAGTTAAGCTGAGGCATTTCTTCACTTTTTGTCACTTTCCTCGGGCTTGGTATATCTTTTGCAGAGTCTGAAGGGAAGGCCCACAGCTTCTTCCTGCTTGTAACAGTGGATGTCTGGGTTTTCACAGGTTTGTTTGTTGTGGGGCACCACTTGTACCCTGGATTTGCCTTCATAAATGCATCCTTGTACTAGAAAAGTAAAGAAAAGAAAAAATTACTGATCGTGACATTATCTACAGGGCAGCAGAGTGCGCTGCCTGTAAGAGGATTCAATAAATAATCCTCAAATGCCTTCATTTTTTAACCATGTGCTTAAGAGTCCAACCACCAACATAGTCTAACAAGAAGATAAGCAAAGCCATATTTTTAAAAAAAGTCACTTTTCCCTTTCCTTTCCTGAGGGTTTATTATGCACATCAGGCCTAAGTTCTGATCCTGCAAACAGCTCCCTGGGGTTTGTATGCTCACTGTCTGAGAGGGAAAGTGAGAGAGAGAGAGATCTTCTTTGAGAGAGAAGATAGCTTTCTGAATTTTTTTTCAGGTACAAACTGTTTATTTTGTAGTTTGATTGAAATGAAAACATTCACTTGGCAATAAATGCAGTGTAATGTCCCTTCACACTTGTTCTCTAATGGGTTGATATTTTAAAATATTCAAAGTAAATTCTGTTCCAAGCCAAGCACGTTCATTTGAAAATAAACTGCTACCAGTATTTTCTCCTTTTCAGTAGCTTCTGATAAGTCACCCCAGCCCTCTCTCCAAAACAATCCTGTGTGACTGCAATAAAATGAAGTAGGACCATTTAAAATTTCCTTTGGCCTTGACCACGTATCTTAGTAGTTTGCTGTCTTCTGGGTATGAGGCAGCAAAACAACCTAAGCAAGACTACACACAGGGAAGTAAGACCTGAATCCTACAGGGTTTGGCTGGGGAAGGTAATAAAGAGGAGGATGGGGATCTATTCTATTCTCAAACATTGAAGTGTCTGAGAGAGAACACATTTCCCAACTATCTTGCTGCCCAGGAAAGAAAATTTTTTTTAAAAAATTAAATATTAACAGCAGTAAGATGAGCACACTTCAGTATTTCAAATTTGCTGACCTGCAAGGTAGAAAACAGACGAATCAGAGGAACATGCCAAACATTCCAGCTGCAAATGTTTGCCTAACAAGTGATAGTGACTTGGAGCACTTGCTGCTGTGGGAGGCACGCTGCCAAGCATGAACCAGGGCTCACTGCAGGGAGAAGGGGCTGAATTCTTCCAAGCCATTATTAGGTAGGTCTGGTCTTGATGGCTATGAGCAACCAAGTGAGTTCCTTGGCTATATGCCAGGGCAGCTGCAAAGAGCTGCTTCTGTGATGACACATGCTCCCACCTACCCAGTAGTCTGCGATCCCAATTCTACCACAGAAAAGCACCTATGTTTCACACACATACATGCACAGGAACTCACACTGAGGGGAAAAAACTCCCTCTGGTATTAAAACAGAAAGAGACTCAAAACCCTGTCCTCTAGCAGAGTCACTGCCATACTTTCCCAGCTCAACACACAGCGCTGTGCCTTGTGGCAGCCTCCCTGCCACACGTGCATCTGTCTTACTTTCACTTCCATCTTACACTGTCAGCTGGCACTCTCTAACTCCAGACTGTAGCAAGGATAAAAATGATCCAATTTACAAGCAGCACGGCACTGTGTGAACCCACTGTGTCAAGTCCTGTATTTATAGAAATGGCTATAAATAATAAAAATCTGCAGGGGCTGCTGACCCACATATACCCTGTATTTTCTGAACAGGGAAGATATACTAAATCTGCAGATGAAGGTCCGAAGCACCTCTCACCTCACCCCTTTTCCCTTTTCCTCACTTTGGTTTGGGAGTTCATTTCACCAGTGAATGCAGACCACAAAAATAGCCTCACCAGGGAAGGGAAGGGGAGGGGATAAGGAAAGAGGTGGAAAGGAAATGCACAAAGAAAGCTTTGCCTTCCATTGTTAAAGCTCCAGCCCACTCATGAATCATGTTTCCAGCCTGCTGAGTTAAAAGCACAGAACCTCTAGCGATGAAGTACGTAAGCTCTTTGTATCAGCATTGCTGCTCTAAATAATTGAATTATTCTACTGATTAATTCGACAGGCTGCCCATCAAATGAGGACCATAATTCACACCATTTTTAAGACGATGCAGCAATAAGCTTTTAATCAGTTTCCAACAAGGGCAATACAAGTGGCATAGTGTATTAATGGATTTTTGCCTCTGCAAAGCCAAAAAGTTAATGTTAACAGCATTCTTCAAACCCCATTCAGCAGTCACTTCAGGGAGGAGAACTCAGTGGCTACTTTCAGAATTTCAACACTTGTGATAAAAGGAAAATAAATAAATGTAAAAGTTAAACAAGAACCAAGAAGCAGTTTTATAAAAGGCTTACAGGGGCCTGGTCCAAACCTCTGGCAGACTTTCAGTATTGATTGTCGTGACTATTAGACCAAGACCTAAAAAGAAGTGATAGATTCTGCTTGGCAGGTCATGAGAAGATAACTTAAATGAGCTACACAGGAACAAGAAACAGCCTAAGGCAATAGGAGAGCTTACTCTTTTCCTCCATTCAACCAACTGTGCAGTAAACCAATTTAACACAGTGGCCTAAGGAAGTCTCTAAAGTCACTTTAAGAAAAAAAAAAAATAGAAAAAGAAAAAGAAATTTCCTTATTCTGGAAAGTAAAGACATCACATTTGTTCCCAGGCAGAGAGGCACACCAGTGCCTTCAGGACTGCCCTGTAGGGTCATGTCCTGAAATCTCAGGTAGAATAATAATAATTTTTTAAAAAAGGATATGTTTGTGAGCTTGGTATGATGCATCATTCTTCTTTGTGAAAGCTTGGAGAAGGATGCATTATGTGGTGGGACAGATGCCACTTCAGAGCCGAGGTCAGAAAGGCTGTTGCACTTAAATGTAACTTCCCTGAGTTGCTATCATCACCAAATAAAAAGTTTGCTTCTTCAGAAGCTCACAGGGCGGATTCAAGCAACGCCTCTGGGCAGCAGTTACCATATTCTAAATGTTAAATATATGTTTAAATTGCACCAACTTTCTATGAAAAGATAAATAAGTAAAAATCATGCTAGAGATCGACGAACATCTAGAGATAAACAAACAAACAAAAAATCCCCCAAAATACTACACTGTTCTTCATTCCTGAAGGCTGTTGGGTTAGTTAGTGAGCTCATTGGTGAGCTCATCAGGCTGCAGCAGGGAAAACCAGGCATTTGTCTTCTCCTGTGCCAAGGCAGCTATACTTTGATTTGCATACTGCTGAGATAGTATCAGTTGCTGGTACTACACGAGTGATAAACAAAGTTGCTTACTAGTTGCTAGACCTGATTTAACTGGCTTTACAAACTCTGGCTTCAAGTAATAAAACCATTTTCAAGTTTATAATCCATCAGAAATTGTAACCATTGCAATTCATATATATATATACACACACGTATATACATATATAAGCTCACAGAGGTTTAAAATACAGTGAATGAGCTTATTTTACTTAAATGTGTCTTGTCAGTATATGTATGTCCTTAAAAAGAAAATTACAACAGTACTTTGAAGTCATTCCAAAGGCACTCAACTTGTTGACTTTTAAATATGCTCTCGTTAGGAAAAAACAAAATATCAATACATGGCTCTTTCTAGAATTGATATTAGCATCTTTCAAACAGTCTCAGCAGTAAACTTAACTATAAGAATGAGCGTCAAACAAGCGATCCACACACAGGTTTGTTTGCAAAGATACTTTCAGTGGCACATTATAGCTTCTAATTATTGTTGTAACACAACTATTTAAGGAATAGACATTATACATTGTCTCTGTTCTACACATTCTTGGTACTAGTGGTAATGATCTGAACTACTAAAGATTTATTGTTTCTCTTTGACGTTGAACATGCAATTTGTTCAGAGCCAGAAGAAATAAATAAATTACTATAGAAACAATGATTTTTTCAACAGTATGATTAATAGCTTCAGATGTGTCACTTCATACAGAAGTTCTGCAATTATTTTCCTTCTTAATGAATGAGTTTCCTTCAGCAAGACAAAAGGCTAAATAAATAGTCACATCAGGTTTGTCTCTCCCAAAAAAACCCTACTTTCTTCATTTTCATTTTTCCTCTCTCTGTATCTGTACCAAGTCTCCTAATTGCCCTTTTTCCACACATTTCAAGAAGCGTCACTAATCTGTAAGTGGGAATGCAGAACACATCAGGAATGGTTGGGCAAAGCTGAGACTCAAGTTTTTAAACACCATGTCATACCCTGCTTTATGCTTTAAAAAGGACTCTTCTGCAGAACACTTGGCTGTTCCTGCGGGCCTTTCCATGTTCACACAAACTACTGAATGTCCAGATCTTACATAAATGTGTTAACAGTAGTAGTCAAGTTCAGGTGACATGGAAGACACAGGCTATGCTTTCCCCAACTGTTTCACAGCTATCTGTACTTCCTGAGGTATCCTAACAATACTCAGCAAATGAAAGAAGTTCTTCCTACTCACTGGCCCTCTGCTGTTTCTTCTAAGACTGAATTCAGTGGTTACACAAAATCTACATCACACATATCAATTACTACTGCAATCTCTTTCAGAGCAATATTATTAGCAAAAGTAACTTGCACACTCTACTATCAATATATAGGGAGAATACTTGAACTAGGAAGTACTCAGCAGTTAAACTAATTTTAAAAGAAAAAGTGACTGAATTTGTTCACTATACTTTTGGCTTGGTCAAGCTATTATATTGACAGCAAGTGTGCAGCATGATGTAAGTATCATTACAGTCAATTGACAAGAACTCTATAATTTAGTGTTTTCAAAAGCCACAATCTATCATGTTAATGTCAGCACTGCTGGGATTATCAGGTTTTATCTACCACAAAAGGCACATGCTTTGTTAAACGATTACTAGAGCCATACTAGTTTGCATACACAGACGTATTTACTTCCTTTCTGGTCTGCAAGACCAGGAGAATCAAAGCAAGAACAACTTGGTTCTGGGTACCGTAATCCCTCTGGGTAAGCTAAGGAGTTCAAAAAAGAGAAAGACCCCACCAAAAGTTTTTAATATACTAAGAAACATAAGACAGATAACCACGTAATAAGCTCCCTTTCCATCATTCATTCATGTAGAACCTACCTCCTTGGCCATGTCAGTGTATTTCTGCTTCTCTTTTGGATCTAGAACAGCCCACCAATCTGCCAAGATCTTGGTTGCGCCACGGTTATCGAGGCGAGGGTGTTCTTTCCGCACCAGAGAGCGATGGCGTTTACAGAACAAGAGAAATGCATTCATTGGTCGGCGAGCTCGTTGCTCTGAGGACTCGTCATCTTCAGTTTCATCAGCATCCTGCTCTAAACCATCAGCACCAAGGAGCGGCACCTAATAGAACCAAAGGAAAGGGATGTAAACATGGTTATTCATGCTTTTCAGAGACTGAGTTTATGCTCTGTCTGAACGAGGAAGACGCATATAGACTTGTATGCATGTCTCTAAAGGCTACTCATTCCAGCTAGAAGATCAAGAATTCCATATCAGACTTTGCCCAAAGGCCCAAAGTTCATTCAAGACTTAAGCACTGATTTGCAAATGGAGCAGATTTCTAAGTTGAGGACTATTCTCAAACAACCACCTTAAAGGGGATAAAAGGAGGATAATCCTCCCTACACCCGTTTCCTACATACTAGATACCATCTTTGTCTTTTGTTGCTAAGTGAACTGAGCTGCCTTGTTCTTCAGTGATAACACGTGTTCACAATGACAAAGTGCACAGGAACAAGAGCACACAGGTACCAGTTTCTTCCCCAGATCCTGATGTTCATTTTCCAGCTTGTGGGCTGTACTGCACTACAACCACTGCATTGCAGCCCAGTCATTGCCAGAGGGCAATTCTCAACAGAATCCACTACCAAAATGCACTCACTCAGCTCAGAGACCAGCACACTATTCACGCAACAGCCACACCACATAAAGCTAGTTATAACTTAATTTAGTTATTACTGGACAGAAAGTCACAACCTACCTAACCACAACATTGCTATTTTATACTATATAGTGGAAGGTGACCCATGAGGTCAATAGAGAGCACTGCCCCTTCTAGTTGCTCCTTATCCTTTCAAGGACCACTCGTCCTTTCCAGTATGCCTCCTCAGCACTGATCTCTCCCTCTTGTCTTAGCAGGGCATCAAGGAGATGCCAATATGAACGTTATCCACACGATGGAAATATCGTGTCTCCAAAACCAACAGCTCCCATACCCGCTTCTCATTATAGAGGTTGACTCTAAGTGTATATCTGTGAGGTGACACAGTAGGGGTCCTTATGAAAGAAGGTTACATCTAATATCATTAAACAACACCGAAGTATCAAGTGTCAGAACAGGGAGATTGTTCCACTTGTGCTCACAATATTCCAGAAGAGACATTGAATTTCTTACACAAAGATAGCATAAATTTTTGTCAGACTTTCCTTCTTTTTCCTTCAATCTTTCAGATTTTAAGAAAAATAAGAGTATTACAGCTTGGTATGTCCTCAAAGTCACTGGAGGCAGGTATTGAGCACTGGCTAACACTATGTCTAAAATAAACAATTAAAAATACATCATAAGAACAACCTTAAGCAACGAAGACCAAGATGTGCAACATGCGATTAAAGTAACTTGATTAAAACTACTAAACTAACTCTACAAAACAGGGGTTTGTCAAAGATTTTCAAATCATGATTGACAATCCACATTTTCTTGTTATTTGCTACTTCTCAATATAGCATTATGTGCATGGTATCACCTTATTTATCTTTTCAATTGACTGGGTTAGCTTGGAAAGAGAACAGCAAGAAATAAAATAAAAACACTGCTGAGGTGAATCTGACCCATCGTTCACCTTCTACAGTCCAAGTATCCAATGAAGTCTACCTTATCAATATCTTCCTCCTCCTCTTCTTCCTCCTCCTCTTCAGAAAAGTCAAGGAGTTTCTTGGCAAGCAGGGGATGCCACTGAAGACACTTTCTTTTTGGTCGTTTCCCAGTTCCTTCTCCTTCTGTCGAATGATCCTTATTCCTACTACTGCCTTTCATTACTGTGACCTGCCATGCAAAAACAGTCATATGTTCACAACAAACCCTTAAGCACAAATGACCATCATACTTATAGAAACCAACAAATGCCAGAGGCACCAATGCAAGACTCTGGCATTCTGGAGAAGATTCTGGCAGGGCAGTAGGTAGAGGTTTATTTCAACCGTCACTACCAACAAGGATGCATCTTTTCTTAATTTTTCCTACCTGATCAACTAGTGACAAACAGTTTACGAAAATGAAACCAGCACACTAGCTAACTCAGCTCTCAGATATACCCTTGCCTAAATGGTAGCACAGAAGTGCTCAAAGTGCTCACACTTCACTGAGTGAAACTCACTACTCTCCTGCTGTTCCCACTGTATTTTTTTCATATTTTGCTATAGAAAAGTCAGAAAATCCCTCTTTTTAACCAGAAAATGTATAACTACCTACTCATCTGTTAATCATACACATATATAGCAATATTGGCGCAGAACCCCATGACACTATGAGCTAGGATTTCCAGAGTGCTACTAATAAAAAGTATCACAAGGAAACCCGACTCCCTTCCTGACAGAAACGAATTTTCACAGACAAATTTGAAGCAAACAACCAGAAGTAGTTACTCTGACACTCATAAAAGTACTTATCTACAAGAGCCTATGCACAGAAAACCATCCACACAACCAAGGGCCTGCAGAAGGCAAACAAATTTCTCACACTTGTCATGCACATGTGTCCTTCAAAGTACCTCTTAAAGTACCTCTCGGTAAGAGCACATCCTCACCACAGGCTAACTACCAATGTCAGAGATGGCTCAGAAGATCTGCTACATCCAGGTAAGATCTGCAATGTGCTTACATAGCTCTTACACCTCACATAGATCAAACACCTTGCTGGGACCACTTCACACGGCAGTGTCCAGCAGCAAGAGCCGTCACAGCTGCTGCCACACTCATACGCATTTCTCAACTACTAATTCTCCTTTTGGCTGATGTTTTCCCAGGGTGATTCTTGGTGGTTAATGCACTGGCATTTTGGTGGCATGCTCTTGTTTGCTCCAGAAATGCATATAAGCAGCTGCTTCCCTTGCTGACCTGAACAGCGCAGAAAGCAGAAGGAACTTCAGACACCACTCACTGAAGAAAAAACTGAACCCTGAATCAGACAGATTCAAGCATTTTTAACTTAGGAATATGTAAAAACAGCATTTTCTTGTACGTACACTAGATTTTATAAGTCCCGCCATCCCTCCTTATTTATCAGTGGTATTTGCTGCCCTGTGAATGCTTCCAGGGAGGGGGACTTAGCAGTTTTTTGTTCGGCTCCACACTTTGCTGTTTCTATCATCCTGCTTTTGAACAGAGCGCGTTTAACCTTTGATTGCATGGCTATCACTGTTAATTCTCCACAAGTAACAATTGTCTTCTCAGCAAGTATTATATAGCAAACAATCAAGCAACATTTCACCAAAATCTTTATCTGGGACTTGCAAAGAGGGTCCAACACACACTCTGAAAATGAAATACACAGAAACAACTTCAGCTTCAAAAGAATAATAAAAAAAAGAAAAAAATCGAGCAGCAGTTCAGTATAATGAAATGCAAGTTTGAAGTTTTTCCTATCCAAAAGTACATTTTGCCATGTACACTGCTGCACCGTGATTCCCACCTGTGTCTCTTCCTAAAACACTGAACCACCATCTGCTTTTGCCACTCAGGGTATTTTCTGATGCAGATCAACAGTGTAGTAGTATTACTGTTGAAGATCTTGAGTTTTCAAGTCCCAGATTTATTTTTTTTTGCACGGAATATTTTGACAATGTAATTACATAAGCAAGATGTTCAATGTTCAAGTGAATGCATACATGATTAAATGACAACACAAGTTTTATTGCAATTAATTACTTTCTGAATCGCAAAACACCAAAGCAATTCATTCAGCAGATCCCTTAGATTCTACTTATTTTTCCTTTTTTACCCCTTGAAATATGATCAACGGCATGTTAGTTTCTTCTTTTGTCTGGGTAGTAGGAAATCACAAAAACATCACTTCCTTCTCTCCCTCACAAGGAACCCTGAATGCTGGCAAGTATCCAGCTTTTCACCTGGACTTGGATCCTATAAGAACTGAAGCATGTTAATGCAATTAAATGGTTCCATTGAAAGTCATGAGCAGTCTCTGCAGGGTCTGTGGCAGAAATAGGATAGAATACACAGCACTTCAACTATGAAGTTTGTAATAGCTGGAACTTCTGAATCACATCTCAAAAAAATGTAATTTCTACTATAATATCAGTAAAAATATCATATAAGTTAGACTTAGTAACTTTTCAAAGTTTGCAAGAGTAAACACCATTAAAGCCAGCTAACAAAATTTTACAAGAAATGTTTTGGGTTCAGAATGATTAAGTGAGACATGAGGGAAAAGGAACAGTACAAGAAGACAAGATGGAAACATGAGCAGCTTTGCTTAAAATAAGTCAAATATACTTCATAACATGATCATACAGATCAAATGTTCCAGAGGTAGGGCACCAATGAAAAGATCTTTTAATTTATTTATTTATTATTGGTTTTTTTTTTTTTTTTTTTTTGTGCTTGCTGATTTATTTCCTTTCTGGTCCTGGACACATTGATCAGAGAGTCACAGATTTCTTGGATGTCTTATAAATACACACACACAAAAGGGTTTCGAATGAAAAAAAAAAAAAAAAATGAAAATAGATCCCTCAAGAAAAGAGGTGGATGAGAGAGAAGTGAGAAGAATGATTGCTTATCTTTTTCTGTTATTTACCATGCCATCTGTATGTAAGTCTTCTGCTTCTCACCATCAAAATTCTCATTTCATAAAATCAAAAATGACAAGAGGACAACTGTGATATTAAGGCCTCATAGTTTTGGGGGCTATGGAGTCACTGAAATGAACTGTTTAAACAAAGAAGTAGGAGACTAGGCAATTAAGTCACTTTCTCAAGTTTAGTGGGCTGAAGAGACATTAGAATTCTCATACAAAAGGAGATTGCTGCATTGTAAAAAAAAATCACACCTATGTGAATACAAAAGGATTTTTTTTAAATAAGTTTCTTTTAGTTCTAGAATAATTGAGTCAGAATACTTCTCTAATGAAGGACAAAAGCTAGTTGGCACTAATTATTGACCAGTCTGTGAATATATTGTTTATTGTTTCACAGCAGAAAGCCATTAATGAGCTTTATTACTTTCAGAGATGCGATGGCTTAATAGGGGACATGCTGAGACTCAGTGGAGTTCTGTTTGCTGGCAGACATTTGGGATAGGCTGTCACCACATGCAACACAGCAACAAGTCAGCAACAAGTCTTTCTTAATTTTTAATGACACACTTTCATTTTGCTAAGATTTTAAACTATTCTTTATTTTCTTAAACTAAGCTCTGAGTTGCCTCCTTTTTTTTTTTTCCCTCCAAAACAAAAATTTAAATCCTTAAACCCAAGCCCAAGAATAACATCAGCTATTCCTATGCTATCAAGATGATTAAATTAAAAAATAATAATAACAGGAATACATGTGTCACTAGTGTTCACTTGCCTTTTTACGTGGACATCATTTAGTTCTGCTTTTGGTTAATATTGTCATTTTTAATTCTTCAAAATTGTCAGTCGGAATGGAAATAAGGGCATCTCAAGTGCTGACTGTACCCAGATCTGCTTCTCAAACAGAAGCCACAAGCAGACAGCAAAAATGCAGGATGGAAAAACAAAACCTCATAATGCTTTTACTTAACACACAGGAAAGTTTACCTGCACTGTGCCAGGAGTATTGGATGTGCTTGTGTTACCACTTAAAGTAACTGGTTTTTAAAAGGCATTAACATGAACATTAATATTTCCATGAAGTTTAAGTGTAACATAAGAAAAAAAAGACTTCAAAAGATGGCAAGAGATACATAATCTACTGAAAAGCCATTATATCACAACTGATTTTAAATAACTATATTCACGTTTGGTGGTTTTTTCCCCCCTCCTCTTTCTACTTCTCTTCTCCCCCCCCTCCTCTTCATGTACAGAAGACAATTAGAAAAAAAATACAATAAGGTAGTATTTTGCTCTGTAAGAAGCTCGTCAGGAACATCCTCATTAAAAAAAAGGGGGTAAACCCGCTTTTACAAATATTGCCTCCAAAAGGCAAACATTTAGGAACCAGGTGCTACTGCTACTGTGTACGTATGAGTAAACTGACTAGAAAATTAAAAAACAAAACTCTAGCACAGACATAAACATTTGAGCTTTCCTTATGAAGAACAAACAGCTGACTGCACCCTATTATGGCAAACGGCTATTTCAGACAACACTCTGCTTAAAACTTAGTAATTGAATGTTTTTCCCCAGTCCGAACACCAGGTTACAGCCATTCATTAGGAAAGCACTACCAGCAGTTACCTTACAACTGTCACTGCTGGGAGATACCAATTGCAGAACCTACAAAGTCAACATGTGAACCTAGAAAAGCAACCTTTAGGAAGTAACAAATGGCTTAGGAAATGGTCAAAAACACTTATTTTCTGCTTCGTTTTACCCTAAATATAACCTTTGAAAACAGACAAGAGTTCAAACACCAATTAGACATTTAAAAAGCAAATAGTAAAATGATCACGTGGTGGAGAACAACTTTTCAAATAACCTCACTGAGGCAGTGGACACGGGTCCTGCTGCATTTTGGATATGGCTCTTAACGAAAGCCTCAGGGATCACATAGCAACCACCCACCCCCATGTTTGCTCTGGTTAGGCTGCACAGTTCCTTTCCAGCAGAAATACCACCACTTCTACACACGACCAAACACCCCACAGCCACCCACAGAAGTCACAATGAATACCTGCTAAAGGGAAGAGGGCATAACGCTGGCCCTTGGGGCAGTGCCCTCCCAGGAGGGGCAGCCGCAGGCTCAGACAGCTGGTGGGGGACTTGAGGCACTCTCAGCACTCTGGTAGATGGACAAAGCTGAGTGCAGGGTGAGATGAAGCCGAGGATGGAGGAGACCACTACCA